TTAGAAACCAACTTGTGGTTTTCCTTTCTTTTCTCTTTTACAAGATTTCCTTTATTCCTGAAATATTTCAAACTTACTTTATTATATGTAAATTTATGCTTCAGTTTGTAAAAGTTCATTAAAAATATTTCACCTTAAAAAAAAAAGAAAAGAAAAAATGGTTTCATGACATAGGATAATTATATGAAACTCAACTTTGTGTTCATGAATAAAGTTGCATTGGAACACAGCCACACTGTTCATTTATGATCTGCCCCCAGACCAATTGGCTATGACAGTCATTGTTGCTACATGGAGGAAATGGACTAAAATATTTACTATCTGGACATTTTATCCCTCTGGTGCAAAGCCTCAGGGCCTAACAGCATAGCCCAGCTCTGAGTTCATAACATTTTTCCCTTCCTTTCCTTCTCTCAACTCCTGTTTCTCAACTGCATAATGAGGCTTTTACAAGGATAAAGCAAATATGTAATTCTTTGAAGATCTGACACTCATTAAACACTATGTGTGTGCGTATCTTTGTTGTCATTACTAGTTGTCACTTTTTTTTTCAGAACTTGATACAGCAGCTTACTAATTTTTTGGCAATCACTGCAAGAATTTCATTTACAGCACTCCATTAAATGCAATTCTTTAGCAAGAGGGAATAGGAAGACTAATGTCTAATGACTACTGAAGAAACAATTAGCATAGTCACTTATCCATGAAATGAACCCTGCAGTACTTACAAATATTTTGACTTTTTTTTTCAAATTTGAGTCCCAGGAGAACTTATACTCAAATTTCAGTTCCACCCTGATGATCATCTAATTGATTGAGGTTTCAAAACACAGGCCTTTGGATTCAAAATACCAATCCACCTGGATGATAATCATGATATTAGAAAACAGTAAGTTATCTCGGAAATCAAACAGAAAACCAGCAACACAGCATGTATTCACTATGTGACATAAGGACTATTAGAATTTTTCTAATCATTCAGAACTTTCATTTTTGGAGTATTCATATCCAAAAACAAGGACTTGAGAGGCAAGTTATACATAAAAAGAAAAACCATGCGTCTAGTAAGGACACAGTCCAGGAACTTGGAATGGAGCAAATTCAGCCACCTTGAGTACAGCACCACAGTGAGCCAGTGCTTCAAGTCTTTAAATGCTGATGCCCAGCAATGGTTCAAGCCATGATCTCACACAATCTCCACAGCAAATACTGTCAACATTGCTTATTAACAAATTTTTCAAAATGCTAAAATCAGAAAAATAGGCAGGGAAGATAACTCAGCACTTGGGAGTCTGAGGCCACAAGCTCTAGACTAGACCTGCCACCAAGTGAGAGAGCAAAAACCTGAATTTTTTTTAAAAGAGGATAGCCCTATGGTGGGACGTCTTTAACCCCAGCACTCAGGAGACAGGGGCAGGTAGATCTCTGTGAGTTTGAGGCCAGTCTGGTCTATATAGGGAGTTCTAGGCCAGCCAGGGCAACATAGTGAAACCCTGTCTTAAAAAAAAAAAAAAAAAAATCATGGTGTTGAAATTACATTTAAAAATGAAAAAGAGGGGCCAGAAAGATACTCAGTGGCTAACTCAGATTGGGTTCCCAGCACCCACATGGCAGCTAACAACTACCTGTAGATGGATTCCAGACCCTCTTCTAGCCTCTGTCAGCATTACAAGCACAGGTGCACTTACTGGCAAAATACACACATAAAATAAAAATAATAAATCAAAAAACTTAAAAAAAAAAAGATAACTATTTTCTGAGTAACAAAGGTGAGTTATTCATCCCTTTCCTTAATATTTGCCAGCTCACTTATTTTGCTCTGAACTTTGCTTGCATAAAGAGTAGCTGAGCAATCTTGGGGTGAGCAGTTGTTTTTGTGTGAATCATCCAGAAAATCCAAGCAATTCAATTTTCTGTGAATGAATGGGTGAGGTTGTCGCGCCCAGAAAATACCCCCTCTACTCCCCCACCCCACCCACCAGCTACCTAGCAGTCCACGCCTAAACTATATACCCAATTTAACACCTGGCCAAAGGCCACATTCATGGAGTGGAAGGTGCAACAGAAAGTCAAATGCCCCCTTGCACAGTTCCTGAAGTTTAATCCGGTTTTCAGAAGTGCTTTCAGCACCTCCACCCACCCGCATTGCTCTTCAGCCCCTGCCCCACAATAATAGTGCACTGTACTCATAGCGGGTCTTCCCTGTCCATCAGTGTGGAGTAAAATAACCAAAGTGTCACAAAACAGCCAAGGAGGAAGAAGAAGAAAAAAAAGAAAAGAAAATCCCGGGGTTTAGCAACGGTGTCGGACCGTGCCATTAGATTGGGCGGGGGGGGGGGGCGACGGATCCTGGAGTGAACTGCGACTCCGGTCCTAGATAGCCCGGAGGTCTGGGCTTGCGCGTGCGCCTGGCACGAAGGCGGCGCGGAGTGGGCGACGGCGGGGCGCGGAGGGGTGGGCAGCGGGAGCGGGCGGCATCCCCCGCGGGGCCGCGTGGTGCGCTCCGGGCGGTGCCGGACGGGAGCGCGGGGCGGTGGCGCAGTCCGCACCATGGCGTACCCCGGGCACCCTGGCGCCGGCGGTGGGTACTACCCAGGCGGGGTAAGTGCTGCGCACGGGCGCCGCTCAGAGGTCCACGGGCCACCTTGGGCGGGCGGGAGCAGACGGCGCTGGAGGGATCCCGGCCCCGCGGCTACCTGCGCGCTCGCAGCCTAACCCCGGCCCGGCCCCTGCCGTCCAGCCTCCTCCCCTCTCCATCGTTCCCCTCCCCCCGGCTCCCCCGCCGAGGCGTTGGTGGGCTGCCACCCGGGTAGCCCACCCTGTGACTCCGAACCGTGGGAAGAGATTGCAAGCTAGCATTGGCTTCCTCCTCCCGCAAAGCAACAACAGCCATCTTGATCTAGAATAGTCCTGCGGTCCCCCTTACTCCCTTGAAAAGAAAATGACAGAGGGACCTAAATGTCAAGGGAAATGAGCCGAGTCCTAGGTGGAAGGCCATTTCTCTGTGGCCGAGATACGCGTCCTCAGAGTAGAACCCTCCCCTGAGCTACAGCCAGGCCATCACCTTCTCCACAGGCCACACCTGTCAGCACTGTACTGACTCCAGCCTTACCTAGTACCTAAAGTGCTTTTAAAACACCATAAAGCTATAAAAGCAAAAGGAAAAGTCCTGAACCTTGCTCTGAAGTTGCTTGCCTAGGTTACATTCGCCTCTGTAACCTGTTAATAGGGATTTAAAGTGATTACATATATACTGACACCGATTTCATGATGACTAATTTTGTGTCAAATTGCGAGCTTTTAAGCTACAATGGGGAAAGAATGCAAAAAGTGGGGTGGGGCGGTGGAGAGGTAAGTCATGTGAAGGGCAGGCAGACAGTTGTGGCCTGGCTGCACAAACGCCCTCCATGGTGAAAGAATAAACTAGATTCTATGTCTGATGCGTTTGCATTTCCTGTTTCACAGTTCGGAGGGGCTCCCGGAGGGCCTGCGTTCCCTGGACAAACTCAGGATCCGCTGTATGGTTACTTTGCTGCCGTAGCTGGCCAGGTTAGCGTTTCCTTTTAATATTAAAGAATTGTGATATTCTGTGTTTGTGTTAGCGTTTGATGTAGAGGCACCGAAAAACGAACTGACTCCTCCCTTTGCCTGTGCAAAGGAAAAAAAGAAAGAAAATAAAACTAAAAGATATTTAGTTCTTTATTCTGAATATTCAGCACAAATTTAGACAACATATATTACTGAATTTAAGTGAATTCAGTTCAAAATTCAACTTGTGATTGGATTAGGGTCAGACTGAGCAATAAGGGGGTTATAAATATACTCAGAACATCTACAAAGTAGATACCATTAGAACTGACTTGTCAGGGTTAAGGGTTGCTTCCAGAGAAGGAATTCAGGAACTGATTGTACAACTAACACATTAGTAATTTTTGTAACCCAATTATAATGGACACCTACTTTCAGTTAAATTTGATTATTAATCATTTACCTCCTTAGGAAGTAGAGAGAACTGTAAAGACCATCAGCTTCTAAGCATGAAAGTTACTGTCAGCACAGGACGTTAACCTCTGTCCTGGTGTGGATGCTCTCACTAGGCTCGCCTTTCTGTGTCCTTATTAGGTGTTGTGGTTTGCTGACCCAGAGAAAGAATTTAGGTCAGTTCCCTGAGCTTCACTTCCTCCATTAGAAAGTTATATGACAGATGAGAAAGGACCCTTGTCTAGCTCTCAAGGTCACTGTGTGTGTTTGGTAAATATACTGTCGCCATAATCCAGACATGCCCAGACTGAATGTTTATTTTTATGTATTCACCTTAGTCTTCTTTTGATCAAGAAGTGGTAATATCATAATTTGAAAAAATGCTGTAGACTATGGTGAGTAAAATCCAAAGTCCAGCTTTGAAGGTAGTACTCTAAGAAATACAGCTTTGAGAATTTGAATGGAAAATTGAGTCTAAGACTTTCCTCTTGGGTATCTGCTTCATCTGTTATTGATCTGTGTCTTTGAAACCACAAGACATGGCACACCTCAAGACTAGCATTCTTAGATTGCCGGTGCCTCCAGCATGTAAGTGACCCCACCTGCTTGGCTTTCAGTAGCCCTGGCCTGTATTCCACACATTGATCATCTTTCAAATTATTGATCCTGCTCCCTGTTATAACTTAACAGCCCTCACTAACTTGGACTTGTGTATTTTATTTAAAGTCCCTAAAAAAAAATGACACATTATTTCTGACCTAGCTCAGCCTACACATAGTACTTGGAACCTATGCTGGGTCTTTCATACATAAGCATTCTTAGAAAAGACCATCTAAATCATAAGGTGATCCAAGAACTTGAACCAGGCCTCATATTCCCTGATGCCTGCATGTCTGCTACATGCCCTACAGCATCCTCTGAAAAAGAAAGAAAGAAAGATTTTTAAACAACTCCATAAATAATTGTACTTTAAAATGACTCATTTTGGTAGTTTAGCTCAAACTGACTGAAGACTGGTTGCCAAGACTCATTCATCATTAAATCATTTTTGGAATTACAGTAAGGAAAAGAATACCCAGTTTGGGAAGGCATTCCTTTAACACAATTTTAGGTGTACCTATTTTCTCTGTCACTATTACTGCTGAAGGACTTGAAAGAACTTGAAAGTACATATCACCATGATGATTCCTCTTCCTATTTTTTTTCCAAAAGGATGGGCAAATAGATGCTGATGAGTTGCAGAGGTGTCTGACACAGTCGGGCATTGCTGGTGGTTACAAACGTAAGTTGAACGTCCCAGAGCCTTTCTAATAGAACTCTTGTTCTTTGTACTTTAGCTGTTCAATGTGATTAGACTTAAGGAAATTAAGCATCTCTGATCTACCAAGCTTAGACTAAATTAGGCTACTATTTTAAAATGTTGATAAGATATTCCACTCTATTGAACAGGTTAGTGGATTTCTTGGATTTAGGTTCCCAGTATCTGAAACCATTCAAACCAGTGAGACAGTTTGGGTGGCCTCCTTCACAGAGGACAAGTTAAGATGATGAAATGGAAACCACCAGGTCAGGTGTCATTAATGCTAGGTACTATTGACTGTTTGCCAAGTACTTACTCTAGCCTAAGCCTGATGACACTTAAGAGTATGGCCTGTCCTGCACTCTGGTCTCTGGGCCCCAGCCTTGCTACTTGGCAACACAAGCACTCACCATAACATCCGCCATGACTTTCTTCCTTCCACTTCCATTCCAAAATGTGTTCAAGTGAAGCATGAAGTACCCTTTCTGCACCTCACACTAATCTCTGCTCCCTCCTCTGTCCTTCACAGACTAGCTCTGTGGCCTGTAAGTCAGCACATATCCCACTTTCTTGCCTTTTCAGCACTTTGCTCCAAGCTGCAAATAGGGGAATAAACATTTCAAAGATGCTATACCTGGCTGGGGGCTTATCCCGCATACATAATCTGCTTTTTTCAGATCTAGCCCTGACCAAGAGAGATTCCTAGGACAAATAATAGTGACTTAGCTCAAGTGTGCTATATGCCAAATTCTTTGCCAGTCAGTAATTGAGTCAGAACATCAAACTGACCTCACAATTTCATGGTAAACTGTGAGTTAAAATGTTCAAACTGTGGGGCTGAAGAGATGGCTCAGTGTTTAAAAGCACTGGCTGCTCTTGTAGAGGACTGGGGTCAGTTCCCAACATCCACATGGCAGCTAACAACCATATGTAACTCCCATTCCAGGGGATCCGACACCCTCTTCTGGCCTCCTGGGGCACACGTGGTGCTCTTAAATGCATGAAAGCAGAACACTCACACACATAAAAATCGTAAAAATCAAATAAAAGACTCAAACTAGAATTCATACCTAAGGACTTAGAGTGGCACTTTCTGCTGTTTACTATGGCATATTTCCTAGATGGCTATCTTTGAAATACATTTCTGTTGTTATGTCTTGTTTATCATGACTTTGATATCCTATTACTGTTTCATAGTTGGGAGTATTAAGTCAAAACACAAGAACCTTTCAAATTTCTGTCATTTAATCTGGTCCGAAGAAGAGATGCCTTTCTAGGTGATGGGAAATGGGCAGTAGACAATATATTTAAATTCTTCATTGTTAGCCTCAAGCAATTGAAGTAAACAAGAAAAATCTAATAGAGCTTACCTTTATCTAATAGAGTGAGGAATCTGTTAGTCTATACCCTTTCAGTAGAAGAGATGCATCAGGTTTTAAAATTAGATTAACAAAGTGCATTGCAGAGCTTTAGAGAGCAGTTCTAAGTTTTGTTTTGTTTTTTCTTTTTATCTTATGTGTATGAGTATATTGCCTGCATATAAGTATCCCCATGTCATGCAATGGCTATAGAGATTAGAAGAGGGTGTCAGATCCTCTGGAACTGGAGTTAACCACCATGTGGGTACTGGGACCCCAACCCAGTTTGAAAAAAAAGATTTGAAAAAAATCAGAGTATGTATGTGGGATGATGAACCATCTCTCCAGCCCTTCTTTTAAGATTGTTATTTGAGATGAGATGGCTCAGCAGGTGTCTTAGTTTGTTTCTTCATTGCTGTGACAAAACACTCTGACCACTACCAACTTGGGGAGGGAAGGGTTTATTTTATCTTACATCTCCTGGGTCACAGCTCATCAGGGAGCCCAAGGTAGGAGGAACCTGGAGGCAGGAGCTGGAGCACAGGCCATGGAGGAACTCTGCTTACTGGCTTGCTCCCCTGGCCCCTGCTCAGCCTGCTTTCTTATGCAACACAGGCCCACCTGCCCAGGGGTGGCACCACCCACAGTGGGCTGGGCCTTCCCCACATCACTCAACAATCAAGAAAGTGCCCCATGGACATGGCCACAGGCCAGTCCAATGAAGGCAATTCCCCAGTTGAGGCTCCTTCAACCCAGGTGTGTCACGTTGACACTAAAGCTATCCAGCACCGCAGGTAAAGGTACTTTCCACCAAACCCAATGACCTCAGTTCAAACCCTGGGTCCCACTTGCTAGAAAGTGAGAACCAACTCCCAAAAGTTATCCTTTGACCTCCATACACTCAGCCCCCACACACTTACTGTGACACACACACATTCTCTCTCCTCTCTCCTCCCTTTCACTCTCCCTCTCCATCTCCAAATAAATAAATGTAGTAACAGATTTTTTTGAAAAGAGGACAGCTGGAGCTACAGGGTGACCCTGTCTCAAAAAGACCGAAAAAAAAAAAAAAAGTTATTTGAGAAGGTTGCTCACTGAATCACCTGAGACTGTGTGTAACACAGGTGACTGCTTCCCTCACACACAGCTCCTGATGTAATTGCTCTGTAATGCAGCTGGATGTCAGAGCCTTTAGTTTCCAGGTGATTCTCATAAGCACTAGGTTAGAGACCTTCACATAATTGATAAGTCAGAACGAAGGACTGACCAGCTGTTTCCCAAAGGCATTGAAAAGTGTTGCCACCTTCTCTCACCTTAGAGAATTTTATACATATATATCTTGAAGGACCAAGATAGAAATAGTTGTTTTTTATTTCTGGAAAAGGATATGCCAAGTACAGTAATCTGCTGAATGTGGAAAATCTGTATTCTGTAGGTTTGGAGAGAATGTAAGTCTGTTGTCTCACTTCAGTGTGGTTGGGGATGAGGAATGAAGCTAGAAAGAACTGTAAGCAAAGTTAGTATTGTGTGCATCTTAAACTTGTAGAATTTATACTAGATTCTCCCACTTGGATTTGGCATTTCTCCCTTCCTGATGTAGAACTTCTTTGTGTCTGTGCATTATTTCTTTAAAGTAACTAATTTGCATCTATGCATTCTTAATTGCAAGGGGTTATCATACTCTTAATTTTCTAAGGCTTAGATTATCAGTGGCCCATTCTCATTACCTGCATAAGGGAAATATTAAAGTGGCTCAGAAACAGTCTCAAACTGAAGATAGACATCATGACCAGACTTCTGAGCCACAGCCACCATAGGTTTGGTCCTTGGGTTTTATTCCAGAGTTCTCTTATTAAGTTCTATTAAGCATATTTATTTGATTGCATGTAGAAGTCACATAAATTGTGAATTAAAAGAAGCCAGAGACTATTGAAGGTTGGATCCTGCTCAGTGCCTGACATTAAAGGAAAGTGAAAAGAGAATAACTAGATACAAAACCCAGCAAAAACCATCTATTTATAGACATTCATGACCAAGAACAAAGCAGCCCTTACGTTCTCTCTCATTGTGGTGGTTGTGATACATTATGGTGGTTCATCGTGGTGAAGTGAACTCATATCATGGGCATATTATTGTTCTAAAGTAAGGAGGCATTCACAGTGTTAATACTGTTTTGTTTTAAGTTTAATTTAAACATTTACTTATGTGTGTGTGTATGCACATTCATGGCTCCAGGGTAGGGGTCAGAGGACAGTTTGTGGGATTCAGTTCTCTCCTTCGTTATGAATGTCAGGGATAGAACTCGGGTTTTCAGTCTTGGCAGCAAGTTCCTTTACCTGCTGAGCTATCTCACTGGCCTTCTAATACTTTACACGATTAAAGGCGGGACTTGGTGGTGCCCATATTTAATCCCAGCACTCAGGAAGCAGAGGCAGGCAGATCTCTGTAAAATCATGAGGCCAGCCTGTTCTGCACAGCAAGTTCCAGGTCAGCTGGGGCTACAGGGAGACCCTGTCTTTAAAATATTTATAATTATATAAAGTTGTTAAAATTAAACTTGGGTTCTAAAATAAATTTTTTTAATCTGGAAAAAGCTACTTTGAAACTCCATATAATTTAGTCCCATGCAAACTGAATAGCATATTTTAAAAAGTGAATTAATAACAGAATTCTTAAATCATTTGAATGATTCCAATGTAGTATGAAATTTTGAAACTGTATTTTATATGTACTTTTCTTGATTTAACAGCTTTTAACCTGGAGACTTGCCGACTTATGGTTTCAATGTTGGATGTATCCTTTACCTTCATTCTCTAGAGTATTTTTCTATGACAAAGAATTTCTTTGTAAAGTGATTCATCTCAGGATTACTACCAGATAAACACAAGATAGCAAGTAGCCTTGAAAAGTTTTGTGAAATAACTATTATCATGTAATTTGGTGTGAAAATAGAATGTTTACTAATGAGCCAGGTTTGGTGGCTCATGCCTGTAATCCCAGCACTTGGAAGGCTGAGGCAAGAGGATCACTGTCAGATTGAGGCCAGTTTAGGCTACATCTGAATCGTGGATCAGCTACAGAGAGAGACCCTTTCTCAAAAAAATTTTGTTTTGTTCAAGGCTTCAAAGCAGAACAGGGTAGACATAAATCACAGGGAAGCCTTTTTGCCTTCAGCAGTGATTACAGGATTCCCACCTGACCTTCAAGTGGTGGGACTTTTTTTTTTTTCTTCACATCTCAGTTACCAGTCTCAATTTAGCTAGTGTGCCACCCTGTGGTGCCTTCCATATCAGTCATTTTGTGCAAATGAAATCCTTGGGTCTGAGAGGGCTTAGCAAGGGAAAGTCAGAGCCCATAGCCAGGGGGAAGGAGGGTATCCTAGGAGATACAGCTCAATACCAATAACAAGACTGCTTTTTACTTGTGGCTCACAAAGCTATATTATTTTCTCATTCAGACCACTTGTATTATCTTTTTTCCCACAGTAAAAATGGGTGTTCAGAAATTTTAATCCATAGATCATTTTTATTATATTTTTATCATTAATCATTTTATTATATTATACCATGAAGAATATATAATAGCTTTTTAAATTTTGGGTTTTTTTCTTTTTTTTGCATTTTAACAGAATGAACATTGAATTCTCCTTATCCTTCTGTGCTCTATCGTATAATCATTTAAAAAAATGTTGCAAAGTAAAGCTTTGGTCCTTGATTATATTTCAGAGAGACAGGTCTGGGACAATGGGGTTCAATGAGTTTAAAGAACTCTGGGCTGTGCTGAATGGCTGGAGACAACATTTCATCAGTTTCGACAGTGATAGGAGTGGAACAGTGGATCCTCAGGAGCTGCAAAAGGCCCTGACAACAATGGGTTCGTATTACTAACTAGTTAACCAGAGGTGTTTTGTTTTCCTTAAAAGTAAGTGCTATTTGAAGACAGTTTCTAACTTTTTTTTAGAAATTGTGTGTATTCATAATTCATATGGTTTGTAGGCTTTTTCTTTTCTTTTTTTAAACCTTTAACTTTTTGTTGTTGTTATTGGATTATTTTCCTGCCTTTCAGGATTTAGGTTGAGCCCCCAAACTGTGAATTCAGTTGCAAAGCGATACAGCACCAGTGGAAAGATCACCTTTGATGACTACATTGCCTGCTGTGTCAAACTGAGGGCTCTCACAGGTATGTTCCAGGAGCCGGAAGCCTGCTTTTATGACGTTTGCCATTTCTTGATGCTTTGAACTTTTATCCTTCCCAGTTTTTAACGGTCTTCACGGGTACTTCAGCAGACTTTTAACATCACTATTAAGCAAATCTAATATACTGTGTTTTTCAGAAATTTTCTAGATGAGTAATCTTAAGTAACTTTTGCTAAAATGTTCCAGACATAACCAGCTAACTTGCGAATTTATTTGTGGTGCTGAGGGGGGAGGCGGTCACAGAGAGCTCACACATGGTAGGCACGCATTGGAACACTGTGCTTGCTATACTCTACATCCCTAATTTGTGCATTTTTGATCAGAGTGTGAAAGTGATTTCTCTTCAGAATACAAAACGTTTGAAAAGAGTAAAATTTCAAGCGAATTATTTTTAGTCAGCAGGGCTGAAATAGGCAGGATAATTGATTGTAGCCTTTGTTGTATTGGGGACTCTATACAATCTATTTCCTTACTTAAGCAAATGTCTGTGTTCTAGAAAGTTTAGGATTCTGTGCTTTAACCACATTTAAGGCCTTAAAAGCTAACAGTTTTTACTAACTTTGAGATATTTTTCTTCCTGCTCCACATTTTAAAAGACCATTGGCCACCTCCTGCCTATGATGTCACTTTGTTGCATATTAAATCCTCTAATATTGATAGTTGACTGTTTTGCTTTGTCCTTTGTTGACTTATTGTATCATTTAAGTGTTACTGCAGTTTGAACCCAATGCCAGAATACTGTGTTGTTTTGCAGATAGCTTTCGAAGACGGGATTCTGGTCAACAAGGTGTCGTGAATTTCTCATATGATGATGTAAGTCTCAAAATTAAGGGCTAAGTAGAGGACACAATGCACACAAAATGGGTATTCGCTTTGAAGTTAACTGTTAAAAAGTCTTACAAAGCTAGGTCATTCTGTAATTCCAGCACTCAGGTGGATTTCCAGGAGTTTAAGCAGCCTGAGCTATGCTTTTGAAGATCTGTCAAAACAGACAGAAACCTAATAGGGGATGATGGCTCATGCCAGAAATCCTGGCACTTTTGAAGTCAAGGCAGGATTACCTCAAATTCAAGGCCAACCTGAGCTACAAAGTGAGTTCCAGGCTACCCTGGACTATAGAATGAGATCCTGTCTCAAAGAGAGGGGATGGGGGAGAAAGGAAAGAAACAAGGCCTGGAGATGGCTCAGTTAGTAAAGTGCTTGCCATACAAACATCAGGTCCTCGGGACATGACAGGGGGCACCTCTAATTCCAACATTGGGAGATTGGGGAGGTGGAGATGGGGTATTCCTGGGGCTTTCGGGCTAGCTAGTCTGGCTCAATGAGCTCCAGGTTCAGTGAGGGCTTCTGTCTCAAAAACTAAGGTAGATAACTATTGAGGGAGGTGTCTTGTATCTACATGCATCCACACAAACTAGGAGTTACCATCCAAGTTATTAATTTTATATATTATTAGTTTTTATCGTAAGTGAGAGCACTTTATATATTACAAGACTAGCTTTAAGGCTCAGCCTGTTGCATTTATTGCCTGAATCATATAAGCATAAAGTTTCCTAAACTGCTCTGAGACTTAGTGAAGAGGATTTTTTGTTTTTTTTGTTATTTTGTCTTTTTGAGACAGGGTCTCTCTGTAGCATCAGCTGGCCTGGAACTCACAGAGATTCACCTGCCTCTGCCTCCCGGGTGCTGGGATTAAAGGCATGTGCCACCATACCTGGCAGGGGTTTTATAATAATCTGCCTTTTTCAGGCTGGGGCCAAAGCTCAGTTCTAAGGCAAACATGAGAACCTAGTTTAATCCTCAGAACCCCACATGTAAAAAGTTGAGAGTGGGGCTGGGCATGGTGGCACATGCCTTTAATCCCAACACTCTGGAGGCAGGCAGTTCAGGCCAGCCTGGTCTACACAGTGACTCCCAAGCCATCTGGGGCTATAGGGATGCTCTGTCAAAAAAAAAATTTTTTTTCCAAATTTCCCAATCTTGGGTTTCTTTTTCTTTAAGAATCATCAGGCTGGCCTGGCAGAATTGTTGTAAGGATTAGCATTGCATAGATCCTTAGCCCTGCTGTAGAGTAAACATTTGAAGGGTACAGTATGCTGCTGTGCATTTACTAAGAATGGCAGCATCAAACAACAAATGCTGATGCTTCTAAATGAGGGTTTCTGAATTGTTAGAAAAGGGTCAGCTTTTCTGTTTCTGTGTGTACACAAGCTTGGCTTTAACAAAGCAGACTTTTAAAGGATAATTGTGTTTCAAAGTGGTCTACTATAGTAGTGGATAAAATTGCAGTTTGGAAGTCCTCACAAGATATGACAGTATAAACTTATTTGTACTTGTGGGCAAGTACCTTTGACCGTGACTGTTTCTAGCCTCCCAAATATTATTTTATAGTAGACTGCTCCCCTAAAATTAAGAACCTTCCCATCCTTCATTTACTTAGGAAGCTGTTGTTTTGTTTACTTACAAATCCAAGTTAGAAAACTGAAATATAAGGTGCCTGCAGATAGGCTATGGTGTACTAAATATTTTGAGATCTCTAATATGACATTGGTTTTTCTCTTTCAGTTTATTCAGTGTGTCATGACCATCTAAAGAGGAAGCTCTCTAAACATACTCAGCATTCCAACTGGAACTCGCCTTTGCTTACTCTTTGCCTTCAGTGATGTGTTAAGTTAAATCAGCATTCCCCTGACAACTGTTGAAAAGGGTTACTACTTCATACACAACTGAAGCTTCATTTTTAATTTTGATAATAAATTCTTTGGACATTTAATAATATATGATCAAGTCTGTTACCAATCAGAGCTTCCTTGAACCATTGTCAATCATGCCTTACTTTTCTGCTAACCCTCTTTTATATAAACTTAAGTATGCAAAATGTTTAAAGCATGTATTTTTTTTCCCACTGTGATACGAAAAACTAAACTGTAGCTGTTGTCCATCTCCCTGAGAAGTGTGATTGGAAGTTTTATAAGTGGAATAGTCTTATATAAATTATGTAAATCATTAACCCACATACTAGAAAGTGAGAACAATTCACACATTTTGATAACCTTGTGAATGGACAGGGATATTGAATATTATCTGCCTCTTTAGAACCTATAGATAATTTGAGTGGCAAATACTGTCACAAGCCCTTTGTCATCTATTCAAACTTTGATGATACTTTAAATTTTTGTATATGGGGCTGGAGAAGTGGCTCAGCAGTTAAGAGCACTTGGCTGCTCAGTTCCCAGTATCCACATGGTGGCTAACAACCATTCATAATCCAAGTTTCCAGGGATCCAACGCCCTCTTCTGGTCTCCATGGGCATTTCATGCACACGTGCACTTACATACTTGCAGGCAAAACACTCATACACATAAAATAAAAAAAATCAAAAAATTTTTAAATCTTGTATAAGTTTAAATTATATAAAAGAAATTAACTGATAAGGACTAAAGGAATCTATGAAAATATTAACTATGTTTTTTTGACTCATGGGATTCTAGGTAACTTTAATTTCCTTTATACATTTCAGTATTTCCCAATTTCTTAATCATGTGTATGTTTCTATTTTAAAACCAGATGGGTTAATTTTTAAAACATTAACATCCATTTTCAAATGTCATATGTTCATGCCTTTAAACATATATAGGAGAAATACTGGAAAGAGTGTCCCAAATGTTAATCTGGGAGTAGGTCATGAGTTTGTTTCCATCTTTCCCCCTCAGTTTTCAAATATTCTTTAATAATCAGATTTTATGTATATATATATGCACACACACATATTTATACACATACAAAATGGAAGACAAACTTTTAAACCATGTACACCATTGGCTTTCAGTAAGATCTGGAGTCCACTGCTGGATATGCCTTACTATGTAGTTTGGTCATCTTATATAACCACAATACACTCAGTTTCCCCATCTTTGAAGAGAATACCTACTACCTCTTGGGGTAGTTCTAAATATAAAAAAGTCTGTTGACATAAAAAGCATCAACAGTGTTGTTTCTTACAGTTTAATAGATAAAAATGTCTTTGCTAGCAATGTATCTGTCTTATTTTTGGACACAATGTGAGCACTGCCATTCAAATGAATGATTACCTGTTATGCAGTAAAAATAAATCTTTACTAAGCACCTGTAGCCTCATTTCAATAATATATTTTCAGATAGTGCTAAAATGTATATATTCATTTAATGAATGCTTACTGAGCCCTAACTTATGATGTCTTTAGCTATGCTCAGGTTACATGTCAGGGTGTAAAGCATCCTGCTTTATCTTACATGGTAAATCTGGGTTTTATCTCAGATCTGTGGTATCACAAAGCTTTCCTTGGCCCTTGGCCTGGGCTGCCCAGAAAAGGACCAAAGAGTGCTCAGAGGACTACTGTGGTAATGACTTCTACAATACAGACATGCTATGGACAAATAGCTTTTACTTAACCCTAAACCCAAAAGTTAATCTTATCTTAGCTTGTTTTATAAAATATCTTATTTTTATTTTATGTGTATGAGTGTACTGCCTACATGTATCTTAAGTGCACCCGAGTTGTGCAGTGCCCAGGGAGGTCAGAAGAAAGTGTCAGATCCCCTGGAACTAAAGCTACCAGATGGTTGTTAGCTGCCATGTGGGTGCTGAGAACCCATGTGGGTTTCTGAGCCACCTCTCCAAGCCCCTTATCTTAGCTTGTTAGTAATGTGAACAAGCCTACTAAGCCTTGAGTTCCTCTTATAACTTACAACATAATAGCTTCAATTCCTCATGACCTTCCTTGCCCTTGACCCCAAAACAATGTAAGAATGTGTATTTGATATAAGTTGGAAACAGCAAAGGTATGAGATTATCCCATTTGTGTTGCAAACAAGAGATGGGACTAGATTGATAACCTCTATTCTTGGTGGTGTGTTTGACGGGTCAGAAGGGACATAATCCTCAGATAAGGATCTGACTTTTACTTTCCCAGTTCATGCTGGATATACTGTGTCAATAAAAGAATGAGCTAAGCCCTTGTTTAAAAGCACAGTTCCAAGAGAATTCTGAAGGACAGGTTCTCAGCAGTTTGGGTCTGCTCTTGGCTGAAAACTGGACGCTAAGAATTGGGCTGTTTTTACTTGAGCATTGCTATAATACATGCCACAGACTAGGAGGCTAGGACTCCCTTTCAGAGTCCCAGTACTTGCTATTTGGTTTAAACTGACCAAAGTCTTTTGAGGAAATCATAGTTTAAGGAAATGGTCATTTCCTGGGTAAGTAAAGCCCTGAGGAAGATGGCTGTTACTGACCCAAGGTTATGACCTATATTTAAGCTCCTGTCACTTGGATAAATCCCAAAATGTGCTATTTAGATCATGGTTCTGTTCTTGGAGGTATGTCCTGAAGAATTACAAATCATGTTTCTGTTATCATTCAGTTTTAACTATCGATTGCTCAAGTCTCCATATTCCCTCTATATCTGTTTTTACCATTTCTTTCTGAAAACAGAGAACTTACTCTTCAATTTGGCTATATGGTTCCAAAGTTTCCTTCGCTCTGATGAATCTGGCATAGCTATCCCTTTTCTTTGTCCCCAAAGTCTTCATTACAGTTGCCTTATTTCTGTTTTGGGTTGAGCTGTGTTTCATTTGTTGTATGCTATCAGCTCATCCTCATCACTTTTTTTTTTTTTTTTTTTTTTTTTTTTTTGACTGCCCTGGTACTTGCTGTGTCACCCAGGCTGACTTCTTCTGGGATTGCAGGCATGAGCCACCACACCTGGCCTCTTTTAAATTTTTTACTTGTTCTTTTTTTTTTTTTTTTTTTTTTTTTAAAGCATATGATTGGAGCATAGTAAAGCTGTGAGCTCAAACTTAAATACTTGAGCTATTTGGAGAACTGAATTCCGCAATCACCTCAATTTGGGATTGTATTTTATTTTCGAGATGTGTGCTTTAGTCTCCATGCTTCAGGAGATTGATGATTTGTAAAGAATTTTTAACACAGTGCACAGCCTTCCATAGGAATGTGGCTGCCAGAGACTTCCTGATGGTAGTTAAGTAGATTTGCACCACAGCAGTCATTAAATTAAAGCTGTGATTCCTACTGAGCCAAGCTGGAGTTCAGCCTCAGTCGTGATATTCCAGGTATCAGTGCTGTGATGGCATGTGAGCTACTCATCTGAGTGCATTACCAGTGCAGTGTTCACATAAAGAAATATATATGCCGAAATTGCTTTAGATATGAGGAATGAGCTATATATAATCACTATTTTTTATTTATTTTTATGTGTGTTTTGCATGCATGTAAGTGCACCCATGCATGCAGTGCCTCTGGAGGCCAGAAGAGGGCGTTGGATCTCCTGGAACTAGAGTTACTGATAGTTGTTAACTGCTATGTAGGTGCTGGGAACTGAACCTGGGCCCTCTGGAAGAGCAGGCAGAGCTCTTAAGTGCTTAGCCATCTCTCCAGCCCCAAACATTTTTAATCTTATAATAAATGTGCAAGCCTTTCCTCAGTGATTTCTATTTTTCTTGCACTATAACAATACTTGGGTAACTTTTTTGCTCAGCAGACTATCAGCTGAAGGGCAAGGAAATGCAAATGCCACAGTTATGACTTGTAGCTCTAATGACTGCTTGGGAGAAGATAAAAGGACCAGGAGCAACAACTTGGAGGCAGTGAATTCAGGAGAAGGCAGCACAGGCGCAGCCCTGGGCTGTGGGACAGAGTGCAAGATATTAATCTTCAGTAGAGCAGGGGAGAACTCAGGAGGAAAGCAGATGGGTGAGTCCAGAAAAGTCCCTAGGCTTCCTCAGGGGGAAATAGCCCAACAAAGTGAACAGCCAGGCTTTCCGAAAGGACTGTTCTATTTCTCATGTCAGTTGTCTCTTCTAGGACCTTGTGGAACAGAACAAATTTCCTTTAGCTAACCCCTGGAAGAGCTTCTCAGAGATACTGACAAGGTGGGGGGGGGGTAGAAAAACTATTAAAGACAGCCACACATCAAAATAACATAAATCTTTTATTGAAAGTCACTTTATTGATGTTAACAATGAGAATAACATAGAAAACTCTGTTATCTTATTAGCTTCAGAAGTGAATACTAAAATTGTGCCAGAAATTTGAATCTCAAGTTATAGCAACCTTTAAAAACAGCAAGATTTTGTTTGCCTACAATGTAAGAACAATTTTATAACTCGAACAGCCATAAAACAAATCACGCTTGCTCAGGAAAGCAATTGCCATATACATTTCTATTGGTGTTTGCCAAAACCCAGTGATTTTGAAAATAGCGTAAGAACTTGAAGTGCAGACTAGGAGAGAAAGGTTAAAACAATGCAAATCGAAGTATCTACACATGAGTACCTACTTACTCAAAAAGCTGTTGCTGTAACACTTCCTCCTGGGGTGATGTCTGTCTGCAGATGGGCATCGCATCTCAAAGGCAATGGATGTGGGGAACACTGGCATAGGCCTAATGCTGACCAGCGTATGAACTGCTTTGGTGGGCTGAAACAAGCAGTTTCTGAAAATCATCTTTTGGAAATGCTAGTTTGGATGGCAAATCTTCCAACAAGTTAAAAAAAAAAAAAAAGTACATGCTTTGTTTCCTGTATAAACTTACTAAGCACTTTTGCAGTTAGTGTTTAAAAAAAAAGCTTCTAAAAAAAAACAAAGGTGTTGGGTTATTTGTACCCATTAAAAAGACTAGTTGCAGTATCACAGTTTGATACTGTGCCGGATTAAAAATGAAAAGTGGGGTTTCAAATCAGGCAGTGATACACATGTATAATTTAACAGGAACTTTGTGTTACTCCTAAGTGTATGAGTTCGTTTCAGCTCTTTCTGTATTGTGTTATCTGATAAAACTTAGCACCTCTATATTTAAAGATTTGGGCTATTTTGTATCATTTTTAAAACTTAACCATCAAAGTAAATCGTATTCTGAAATGTCTTAAAATTAGGTGCAGATGGAGATATATATATATGTATGTATATATATATGGAGATATTCAGAGGAAAACTAACCTGTTTTTCAAAAACAGAAACTGATGGTCTGTGTGTGAATTATATTAACAAGATTGTCTAGTCTCATTGTATGCCTTTTTTGTAAAATGAATCAGAACAAAACACATTTTGCTCCAAGGACACTTAGAGATGTGAGATGATGCTGCCCCTGCTCAGAACCCTTGTCATTCCTGAAGCCTCTGCCAGTGTGATACAGTCTATGGACACTATAGCAGTAACACACCACTGGACAGTGAAATAAGTATAGCTAGCACTAATGCTCTAGAAAACAGCAACACACACAAGTCTGCTTTAGTCACCCAGTACCTTTTCCCTCTGACATGTCCCTGTGACCTTCTTGAACTCTTCTGCACATTTCATGTGAATATCCACTGTACGCCTAATGCCAGGACTAAACATCCCAGGATCTCCCAAAGCTATCTTCTGCTTAGCCCCTTCCTGAGATTTACACCCTGAGACCCATCCCTTAGTCATTTTCCAAGTTGCATAATCCATGCGGGCATGTCAAAAGAAAATTAAAGACCCCATCCCTGCTCTGTACTGCTGTTCTCCCAGTTTCCATTTAAGCCAAAGAAAGCACTGGCCTCCATGATAGGTGATGTTTCTAATCAGGAGAGAGCAGATACTTTGGAAGCAAGAAGACTCTGGAAGCATCCATAGAACCCCATAGTGAAGATAATGTCTTCTTAGGCCATGCATATGAAAAGCAGAAATACAAACGATGCAGGTCTTTTAAGTTTTGACTTTCTGTTTACAGATTTTTAGATGCTCAATACTGGGGACTGACAAAACAATGAATGGGAATGGAAATGGAAATACTACCTGCTGTTTTCTAAGTCTTGCTGCATCTTGGCTCTGCACCTACAGGTGTGGTAGGAAAACCCTTAGAGCTAAAAGTGCTGGCCCCCCAAAGTATATGCTCTGAGCAAGTGCTAAGAGCTCCCTGCGGGTACACTCTAACAGCATGCAGCTCACACACAGCCGAATGGGCTGCTACCTCAGCCAATGTTCACAACTACCAACTGCGTGCCTTACAATACAATAAAAGGAAAGCTGTTCACCTAAGTCCTTAGTTCTGATGCCAGGAGAAAAGACACTGCATCTAAAATCAGAAGAGTTTTAAATACCTCGGGGGTGGAGCAGGAATAAATCTTTGAGCCTCCAATTGAGCCCTGTTCCAAAGAAATGCTTGCTTTTTATATAAAGCTGGAATGGGAATGAAAAATTCATTTTGACTCTAAGGAGGGAACATAGGTAACAGTTGTAAAAGAAAGCAAAGTGAAAAGAAACAGACCATGAGGAACACAAAAAGGAGACAATATGCTGCAAATGGGACTCTAAGTGTTTCAAAGTTCAGGCCACCTTGTCACTGATTAGATGACAGTTACAGTCTGCCCGGTGCAGGGCATCCAGTCTCAGCAGCTGGTGGGGCCCTATCAGGCTGCTCAGACAGGTGTCTTGCCTCTTACTCCTGTCAATTCCAAACTCTGTTCTCCTCTTCCCATATACTGCAAACTGCCAAGTAACCTTCTTTTCCTTTACATTTAAGTAAAAGAGAAATAATCTTTCTTTCAGGTAAGGACTTATTATATTGAAAAACCACAAGGAAATATCAAAAGTACTGTGTAAGTTTAAGGTTAAGATAGATCTATATAACAAAAGAAAAATGATGTGGTGAAAAAAACCAATGAACAAACTTGATATTGAAATACTAAAAGTGAGTAGAAAGATCACACTTCCTCTGACTCAAATATAACTGTAAAAAGAACAAAATCTGAGAGGGTCAACAGGGAAAGTAGCCACAGAAGGTCTACTGTCTAGAACAGTAGACAGGATGAAATTAAGCAGACATGTAAGGAATCAACAGAGAAGAAAGAAATGCAAGCTTGTCATGGAACTCAAACAGGAGTCCTCTTTCTCTGGGAGGGCACAGAATATCTAATTTTATCTTCACAGTTCCTTCTTTTAGAAACTTCATCAATCTTCCGTTCAGAAATTCTATGCCGGAATTCTAAGTGCAAACACAATTTTATAAGCCTTGTAAATCAAGAAGGGGGGAAAAAAAACTAGCATCATTTAATAAAGCACTAGTATCAAAGTGATAAGTAGGCATCTTAATCCCTTATTTTCTATCAGCCAGTATTTCTTTTAAGGAACAATTCTAGGGATAGGGTATTCCTCAGTTACCACCTAATTGAGGTGCTGAGATTTTTGTTTTTTTATTTTTCACAAATACAGCAACTACAGCACATTGAGAGCCCTCATGTTGTACTATTTGAGAGGTATTGATTTCTCTCTTTCCACAGACTGCATGTGACTAGAGAACATTTTCTAGCTTGCTAACTCTACAGGAGAATTTCAATTCCCAACTAAAGGAAGTGGCTGGGAACAGTAAGTCTGGACAGTCCATTACTTAAGGACTTTAGGTTACCCTAGACCTCTCCTGGTGACTCAGTAGAAAGTCTTCAATGTTCCTTTATCCAGGACGCATTCTGACTGGATAAATAGACTATCTCGGGCATCTAGACTATCACTCTGCTTCTCTATCTATGCCAAGAGAAAAGGTATACAATGAACATAAAGGCCAAATTCCTGCCCTTCTCGGCAAATGAGTCCACAATGGACTGGGAAATGTGAATATTAGTTTCATGACTCAAAACTGCTATGTAAATTCAAAGTTTCTCTTCAAAACAAATATTTTAAAAAGAAGTAATTACTGTGCTTGTATTTGGTGCCATGAGTCCATACTATCTACTTCCGTGAATGAAAAGTCATTGTGTATTTAGATCAAATACTCTACAACATCAACTGTAAGTCTACCAATAGATGCTTCTTGAAACTACATCTATACTAAGGTTTGTCAGTTCAACAAATGGTTCTAAGAATGTTTAATAATGGGAGATAGATACTCAGGCTAGAACATTAAAGCTATTATAGTTCTGAAATCATAATCTCTGCAAATTAAGCAAAACCTTTTCATTCAGTTTCATATGAGGATGATTTCAGACTAGAGCAACTATATCTCCCAAAAGGCACATGATAAAGATTTTAGTTTTCAATAATAATTTCAGGTAAATTTAGTTGAGGAAGTGAGGAAAGACAGATAGATAGATAGATAGATAGATAGATAGATAGATAGATAGATAGATAGATAGATAGATAGGTACAGAAAACTAGCAGACTAGCTAGCCATTGTGGATTCTTTCCAAGTTAGGGCTTATGTAACTATAACTACAAGGCATATTTACACGAGGCACCTTTCATTCAAAGCTATAAACTCTTGTAGTCAAAATAAACCTTATATTACATTAGCCTTTTATATACTCAATACCAGAAAACATTCAGTGCACACTTAAAGTGATCTTGGTAAAAAGTCACTTCACTTGCTACATCTTTTTATCTGTCTGCCCTTCTGTCTTTAGTTTAAGATACATGGACACATTGCCCAACACTCACCTAAACCCTTGTCTGATGGACTGTTTTACTGAGGCATCAGTAACCATATCCTTTCCTGTTATGAGAAAAATGCTGTTTTTCACTGTGTAATTTTGTATGATTAAAGTGGTTTCAGAAGAGAGGTCCATTGCAGAAATGAGGAGACTCTAACACTGCCTTCTAACTTGGCCCCTGGTTTGGTCATATAACTTGATTCTACATAGAGATGAAACAAATTGTGTTCCTGGACACTGTGGGAAGAAATCAAATGCAAAGGGCATTTCTGAGTTCTTGTCTGATGACTCCATTCCTCTTGAGAGGCAGTAAGGAGAAAAAGGGAGTCAGAAGTAGACCAGAGCAGACTATGTGTTTGAGTCTATCAATTTCAGACCTCACTACAGTGGCTTTTTTTAAAATGACAGAACTGCATTAAAGCAGCTTTTAAACTTTTATTTTAAACAAGCAGACATTCACACAGAATCCTCATTCTTTTCAATGGATTAAAATAAATAAGGCTCAAAACAGACTATTTTCCTTGCCAGCTAATGGTATAACTTTGCAGTTACTGCATCTCTGTAGCTTTAACCCATTATGCCCTGTTGAGGCTTCCCACCTTGGACAGGAAAAACATCCATCCTCTTGTTTCAAAGCCAGTCAGAATGACCTGTTTCAACTTACATCCCAGTGATGATAAATGTGTGAATGTTGCTGTTGTGAAAACAAGTCATTCCTTTCACAGATAAGGTTGACTGAAATGATTTTATCAAGGAACCAAAACTTCAGGCCAGAAAGCATTCACATATTGGCAAGATGGAAGCTACCCACTCTGGGCTCTGGGTCTTTGGGGCACCTGCTCAATCTCAGCAAGATACATTGTGGAGGGGAGGGAGGAATCCATGGCCTCCAGATAAGACTAGAGGATATGTCCTGGGACTGAGAACAGCTTATGTGACACTGGTGACATAGAGCAGATGGGCTGGCTGATTCCTAAGAGCCCCATAGTGTCCTGAGGCTGCATGGCCACCACACACCTGGATTCCTACATTCAGCAAGATGGAAAGTCCAGAAGTTTGGCTGGGCATTTTGTTCTCTTAACTAATTACTCAATAAAACTGCCTCCAGACTGTACACAGTTTAAAGGGAAATTACATGTTTTAGACAAATACCAATTATGAAGAGACATTTTTACAGCATTGACCACTATATTTACAACATCATCTGCTTATACTCTGAAGACCACTGGATGGAGAACAATGATATGATTGTGACTGACTGTTTTTAGGCATTTGGCAAAATACACTTATGTGTAACAGTTGCTTTTTTAATTTTAAAAATGTTTACATATGTACAGTTGTCCTTGTATGCTGATATAAATATGAAAAGTAAAAAAAAAATAAAAATAGGTGTTTAAAGTTAGCATATGGGATATTGATTCTCAAAGCTTTATAGTCCTGAAAAAAAGTCCTATATGCCTTAGCCCTGCATGCTAGTTTCTATCATGAGATGTTGTTTCCTTGTATATGGAAAACAATAAACAGAAGCTTCATGCATATGGCATTACTGTTTATAATGAAGATGTGTTTCAGAATGCCAGGCTCTGAATCCACTACTGTCCCTTAGGAAAACTTGCTACATTTGGGTCATGTGAGTTACTTTTGTTGATATTCTACATATATCTGTCATGCGGATTATCCAGTGCCAGACCATAAATGGTTCCATGTTGTAGTGTAACATTTCATTAGTTCTTTTCATGGTTTGGTTAAATCCTAAGCCAATGACAAAAAGAAAATGGTATCCAGGTATGACCCGTGGTGTCCTCTCCTCTGGCGTCTCAAAGGGTCTTCGAATTGTCTGAAGAGCAGATAGATTTTGCAATGATTCTGTGAGGCTGGATTTCTATAAAAGTTGAAGTAAACAGTTTCGATGTGTCACATGTAAACAGCTGTTCTTAAATGGATGTCTCCCATAGCTGCACAACAGAGACAAACAAAATGACACATTGTGAAGGCAGAAAGAAGACATTCTGAGCTATGAAAAAGGATTCCATTCATACATATGTGGCTACAGCTAATGCTCTTGCAAGAACTAATAAATGGATAAAAGACTCCTCCAACTTTTAGGTCTCTCCCCTAAGCCTGCATATCAACTTATCTTTGTGTGTGCGGGGGGAAAGGGGGTAGTATGTCGGGGGGGGGATCATGCATACATGCATGTATGTGTGCATCTATCTGTACATTGCCCATGCATGTACATGAGGTCAGAGGAGGACTTCTGGTGTCCTTCTCTATTGCTCTCCACCTCGTTACATTGAGACAAGATATCTTACTGATGACCGAACCCCTAGAATCCTCCTGTCTCTGCCCCCTCAAGTGCTAGGGCTATAGGCATGTATAGCCATGCCCAGCTTTTCATGTGAGTTCTGGGGAATTTAAACTCAGGTCCTCATGCTTGTACAGAAAACACTTTACCAACTGAGCCATCTCCCCATCTTTAATCTGGAAAAGTTTTAAAATCCACTGCCCTGGTAGCACACTACACCAGCTAAATCCAAAAAAAAAAAAAAAATTTCATTGGGTGCAATTTGGGTTTAAAATATTTTGAAAGCTTTTCAGATGATTCCCATGTATAACCAAGGCTAAGAACTACTATCCTCTGGGAAGTGTGATTCCATCAATACAACCACCATCCCCATAGATATCAGTATGGGCCTCTGAGCAAGCCACACACTTTCCAAGTCTGCCACTGCCTCCTGGAATTGTCCTCCAGGAGCTGACATGTCAGCATGGAAGGATGCAAGCAGGGCAACACTTCCCTTCCTTAATCCCATCCCTTCTACTTGCTTCTGCTCCCAGTTTTTTACACTGAGCCTAATCAGATCTAATTTGCACAATGCTAGGTAATTGCCTTAATGGAAGAAAACAACTTTGGCACAGTAAGATAGTTCACCAGAGAAGGGAGGCTGTTTTCAAAAGTCTGCCAGTAGAACATATTTTCAGGCAATATGACTCATATGAATATACATAAAGACAAAAAGAGCAAATGTCTAGAGTCACTTAGGTTAATTATGATTTCCATCCAAATTCCATTTTGACAGGAAGTATAAGATAGATCATGGCATATGAACTTTTGGGAAAGTTACTAAATACATATTTCTTTTTTGTTTGTTTTTTTAGACAGGGTCTCATGTAACCCACAATAGCCTCAAATTCACTATGTAGCTCAGGCTTTCCTTAATCGCCTGTTCTTCCTGCTTCTACCTTTCAAATTCTGGGATTACAGTCATATGCCACCCACCACATCTGGCATACGTATCTTTTGGGATAGATTAACATGCTCTTGCAAATCTTTATGAAAATCTTGTTCTAACATGAATTGTAGCATATGCCACAGAGCTATCTGCATTAAGACAGCTTTATATCTCATATCTCTTTATTGTTAAATTGCTCACTCCCTTGTTCTTTGGAACCAGAAGGAATCTCTTAACTGTGAGGATCTCTGTGAGTGGACAATATGGCCTGGTGGAGAGGAGCTAATCAGAGGGCTTACGGAGTGTCCCAGGTGAAGAAAATCTGAATATTCAGATAGTGGTTTGGAGTGGTTCAAAGACAGGATTTTAGCCTCAGAGAGCTGTATTTTCTTCACATGTGGTTATAAAAATGAAATAAGTGAGACCTTGTAGAAACATTGAGAAAGCCTAAAAGTCATGATTACCCTTATTAGAAACAAAGAGCAAAGAACTGCAAGATCACCTGTAGCAATAGGCATGCCTGCTGTATCTGTGTGGCTATACCATGGGGCTGCTGACATGAACTGTTTGTTCAATTTTCCACAGCTCACCAAGACAACCCAGAGACAGGGGCCACCTATTCTCCAGGATTCTGGCTGGTCCACAGAATCTAGAACAAACCAGACCTTTCATGCTACTATTCCAGCAACTAAAGTCTTCACCAGCACCCTGCCCAGCCCATGGAAAGATCATGGGCCACCCTAGGCAACTTATTTTCATGGTCTCCCAAGTGTAAACATCTCCAATAAGCTACACCCTGGTATGACAGCAGCTGAGAGAAGATCCTCGGGTTGACAGAACAAAACAGCAATACAGACAATTTAGCTGAAAACAAGGGATGCTATAATTAGATAATCCTCTAAGGAGGGAAGAATGATGCAGCCCTAGACTTCATTATCAACTAGCACATCACTGAGAACTGAATGTCTATCCATAAGCCTTTTACAAAGCCAGAAAACTCAGGGCTGGAAATCTGAGTTATTCTTCTTTTCCATCTGTTATCATTTCTTATACTGATAGATAGAGGTAGTTTTCACAGTTAACAAAACACCATTTCCTATTTGTAAAGACTTTTTGATTACAGGGGGTGGAAAGATGGCTCTGTGATTAAGAGCATTAGCTGCTCTTAAAGAGGACATGAGTTTGATTCCCAGCCACATGGTGGCTAACAACCATCCATAACTCCAGCTCCTGGGGAATCCAAAGCCCTCATCTGGCCTCCATGGGCATTGCACAACATAAGTGTATTTACATACATGCAGGCAATACACTCGTAAACATAAAATAAAAATAAAAGCAAATAATTTTTTATTATAGTAATCTGATCAGCTTTGAATGATCTGTTTTCTTATTGACTCTGGGTTGATCAAGTCAAAATACAAATGATCCATATTTACCTTAAACCCTACAGTTCAGGATTAAAGATTGAAAGCATCTTTCAAGACCAAAAAGTCTAAGAACTCAGAAGCCTCTGCCAGATAAATCATCCAAGGCTTTTAAAGCTTTACCTTTTTTGCAACATTTTTTTTCTCAGAAGATCAACATTAAGATAAAACTGACCATAACAGAGTGTAGACATCAGTGATCATTCTTTTTGTTTCTCTATTTCACTTAAACCTTCGAAGGTTGGTTTGCCACGCTAAACTTCACTTTATCTCAAATTTCACAAAATGGTTATGTTCTGGTAATGTTGTGAGTCCATTGTATACTGATTTAAATGTAACAGGTGATTTAATAGCTAAACAAAATTTCTTGGGAATTATATTTTTATAAAAAGGATGAATACCTACATATTTGTATTTAAATGTAGCTTTTGGGAAGCTGGAAGGATGGTTCAGTGGTTAAGAATGCTTGCTTCTTTCCCAGAGGACCAGAGTTCAGTTCCCAGCACCCATGTCAGGCAGTTTACAATCTCTTGTAACTCTAGTTCCAGGAGAAATAATACCCTCTTCTTGGCCTCCACAGGCACCTGAACTCGTATGCACACACACACACACACACACACACACACACACACACACACACACAATTTTTAAAGAATAAAATAGATCTTTTTTAAAATTTTGACTTTTTGGAGGATGGGAATGTGGCTCAGAGTGAGAGCATTTTCCTTCCAGGAGAGCAAGGCCCTCGGATTCAATTCTTAGTACCACAAAACAATAAATTTAGCTTTTTTAAAAAAAAACATAAAAAGCTGTTAGAGTCTACCATGCCCTTTGCAGTATTCTTTCAATATTACAAATTTTTCAAATTCCTTTTCCTTATATACAAATTCTACCCTCATTTGGTTCTCTTGTCACAAGTTCCTATTTCTAAAATTCTATGCAGTTTTTTTTAGCCAGTGAGAGACCCAAGCAAGGAGACTGGGCATGGAAAAGGAACTCTTACTTAGTCTCTCAAATCCCCAGGCAAGAAACTCATAAAGCAAATTACACCCTTTGTTTTTCAAACTCAGAGTTGAATATAAGAACAATGAAGAATGAGAGGTAAGCTCAGAGTAATGACTAACATACACCAAGTATCTCTACAGTATACTAGGGAAGATTAATTTGCATATGTTTTCAAGTAAATTACTTCTCATTTTCTTGCAAACAAAGTAGGAGAATTAGTCCTCTTTTAAAAGGTGAACTCAGGCTTAGGCACAGTAGTGCAAGCCTATGATTCCAGCACTCAGGAGACTGAGAAAAGAGGATTTTCATGAGTTTGAATCTAGCCTAGGCTAGATTAACAAGAGCCTGTCCAAGTTGGGGGTGGGGGAGAAAAAGAAGTAGGAAGAAAACTCAAAGATTAGCACTAACATCCAAATATGAAAGCATGCGGAAGTCACTACATACCCTGGCACTCTGTCGGTTGGCTTTCTTCTCCTCATCGGGGAGTGGGGGCATTGGGTAAGGGTATTTTCTGCTGGAGGCAATAGATCCAGTTGATGAAGAAGGAGACTTGGCAGGAGACAGAGTCCTGAGATGTTGAGAACATAGGAAATGATTATCATATGACTGCCTAATATCATTTTTCAAATATCTGTAAAGCAGGTTCAAAACAAGCTCTCAGACGTCTACTTTCACAAGCATCTACTACAAAGCTTTAGCTACTGGGAATATAGCTCAGTCATTCCAGAATCTGGAATGCTGGGATTTTAACTTCCTAATTCCACAACAGTGATGAATTGCTTAACTGTTTCTACACAGAATCATACTTTTAACTACAAAGCCAATAATAAAATTTCATCTAGAGTAAATAAAAAGCTAACATGGAGAAGGGAAAAATTACTCTAAGAGCTCATAATGGTAAATTAAACAAACAGCACATTAATATACTGCCTTATTTTTACCATTTAATGAAAAATGTTTCTATGTTCAATAATTCCAATTAAGAACTTAAAATATATTATCACTGATAAGATTTATTAGTTGCTAAATCACACTTTAGTTTACATAAACTCATGCATTTAGAGGCCAGTGTTAGTTGTAAAGGAACAAAGGCATGTACAAGGGTTTTAATAATAAATTAGTAAACATGCAAGCAGTAAGGAGTGCAGAGTTCCAGCCAAACAAAGTCTGATGAGAACATACAAAAATGGTCTAATCCATCCCTATAATCAGCATTTTTGGAAAAGCAGTGGTCTATAACACTGAAGTGCTTTGATGTTTGTAAAGCAATTGTAATATTTATGCCTATGTTGAGCACACTAGGAGAGATTATTTCTGTTTCTAGCTTGTCTTTAAGAGTTAAAAAAAAAAAAAGTTTGAGTGAAAAGTAGGCACTCATTATCTGTAGGAAACAGATAACTACATAAGCTATGACTTTCCCAAATGCTACCACTGCACCTGCATGACTCCTGAATTCCTGTGCAAGGTGTAAGCACCTGCATCTCTGAACTACCCTGCCACATTGCACCTCTTCCGCTGTGCCTGGCTCAGCCTGGCAGTATGGGGTTTATGAAGCACTGGGCAGGGCAGGATCCCCATCCATGCACTATCTGGCTCTGGTACTGCCATAGCTTCCAAACTAATTTCCATTTTAAGGTTGCTGAATTCAATATTAGCTTTGAAAATGCTTTTTCCCTATGTACTCTGGGATCCAAGTGAGTATCCTTAACTGATTTAAAAATCAAGGGTGGTCCCATTCACTTTTAAACCTTAACTCCTAATGTTCTTCTGTTTTTGAAAATTAACCAGGTGCACTCTCTAGCAGGTGCTGAAGCAAAACAGCTCTCAGGTTTCTTTGATGCTAATACGCACAATTGCTGGGTTGATGAATGTAACTAAGAATTACAATACTTCAATTCCTATAAAGTTCTATTAAAGCAACATATTGCTACATATTTTCTGTGTGTATGTACGTGTGTGCGTGTTCCTGTGTGTGCAGAGGCACATGTGTGTAAAAGTATGTGTGTAGGTCAGAGGTCAACCTCCAGTGCTGTTCCTCAGGTGTAATCCACCTTGATTTTTGAGACAGTGCCTCTCTGATTAGGCTAGGCCCCCAGGGGTTGGCCTGTCTCTGCCTCCTTAGCACTGGAACTGGAAGTGCAGGCCACCATGCCTAACATTTTTATGTAGGTTCTAGGGATCAAACTTAGGTGCTCATGCTTGCATAACAAGCACTTTACCAACTGAGCTATTCCCCAACCCCCTGCTGCACATTTTTAGAATTGAAAACTTAAATAGCTTTTTTAGTAAAATGTTTTAAACAGGATCATGGCTTTTATGAAACATTCAATATGTATAAAATGAGTACAAGACTTTTGCACTTAGATATTTAAGTGCATACTTCTAAAAAGAAGACTATCAACTTGGGTTCAGCTTTTTAGCCTAAACATTACTCATTTTTTAAAAAAGTCCAAGTTCAAGAAAGATAGACACACAACTAAATCCTGTTTTCTCTAAGATCATGGAAACAGAGTCTTCTTTTTGACGCAGTAGAGCTGTACAACTAATAATGAGTAAAACAAAACAAAACTGGAAATAGTCTTCAGAACCCCAAATAAATTGCTCTCCACTGCTTCTCACAGTAGTACATTAGTTAATTTATACTCTGGACCTGGGGGGCAAGAAGAAACCAAGTAGGACAGCTTCAGTAGGAAAAGATAGGAAACAGCCTCCAGTAGGACAAGGCCAGAGCAGAGATTAAAATGAAAGTTGGGAACGGGGCAGGGTGTAGGGGAATCATAGTTATACAATGAAGGTGGGCTTGTGTGCCAAAGGACTGTGGTGCATCTTGGGGCTCCATTTTCATATATAGGCATACAAATCACATGAGCCATTTGCAGGGCCACTCCTTATCCACTTGTGTACACAAACTAATTTTACAGTAGCCTGATCCAGGAGGGTTTAAATGTCCTCATACAGGACCTAAACTTCCACTCTTCTCTATGACTTTTAAGTGATTACAAAGGAATGAAGAAGGAACAGATTTTGGAGTCAGAGTTTCAGGCTCTAATTCTGGACCTGACATTGATAAGCTGAGTAACCCTTTGTACCCCAGTTTCCTCCATCCAGAGAAAGGGACTTAGAATGCCTGCATCATGTGATGTGAGAAATAAACATACGGCAGGCACTTGACACATTAACTACTACAATTTATTTTTGGAGTTGATATATTTTTCATAAGATTGTGAAAATGGGCTCAAAAACCACAGATGAAATGAGTAAACAATTGGATAATACTCTAGAGTATGGATGCCTCTTGAGAGCTTCTAAGGCACTGGTCATCAGCAGATACTCTTCTGCTCTGATTTCCTGATAGCCTGAGTACATGCTGAGGACAATTAGGAAAACCACTGTCATATAAGAACTGGAGAAAGGAGCACAGCTGAAACCCACTGGTCACTCAGAACCTATAAGCTTGCGCTACCTAACAGTTAGGGATACCATGTTTTCAATGGTACGCTATATTTTGGACCAGTTTGCTGTGGGTACAATGTCTCCATTGTATTTTGACAAGAATGCCACAAATCCAGCCCCATAAATGTGATTAAGAAGGTGACCTTTGCCTTCGTGGTTTTGTCAAGAGAGCTTCAGTACAGGGTTGGTAAAGCCCAGGCCTAGATGTGAATGCACTTTAGGCCTCCCATGTGAGGTTTGGCTTGCATGAAGCATAGATGAAATACTCTTGTTATGTCAGAATCATGGTGCTAAGAGCTCTGGGTCATCTCAATTATTCACCACTGCCACCAAAATTCAGAGTTGATATTCAAGTCTTACCAGCACAATCCTTACTAATCAAAAAATGACAGTTGTGCTGGATAGCTTTAGTGTCAACTTGACACACCTGGGTTGAGGGAGCCTCAGTTGGGGAATTGCCTCTATTGGACTGGCCTGTGGACATGTCTGAGGGGCATCTTCTTGAGGAGTGAGCCGGGAGGGCCTAGCCCACTTTGGGTGGTGCCACCCCTCGGCAGGTGGGCCTATGTTGCATAAGAAAGCAGGCTGAGCAGGAGCCAGGGGAGCAAGCCAGTAAGCAGAGTTCCTCCATGGCCTGTGCTCCAGCTCCTGCTCCCAGGTTCCTGCCCTGAGTGCCTACCTTGGGCTCCCTGATGAACTGTGACCTGGGAGATGTAACCTGAATAAACCCTTTCCTCCCCAAGTTGGAATTGGTCAGAGTGTTTTGTCACAGCAATGGAGAAACAAAGATAACAGTCAAATTATAACTGCCCAAGGAACTTTACCTTTTAACAAAATATGAATATTTAATAATTAATCCTTAACGGGACTATGTAATGTAGGAACCAACATCTCGCATTGAAAGACGAGATAAAGGGACCCTCTAAAATTGCCTTGCAGTTTGCTCGTGCAAGCAGGGGTTGCTGAAGCATTTCCCCATCCAAAGTGCGTTCATGCGACTTCTGGGCAGACCTGGGAGGCTGACTTTAAGAATTGGGAACTCTTCTCTCCAAGCCACATCAAAAGTTCTCAGCTCACCCAGGGGAGGTAAATCAACTCTTCCGGGGTACCATTTCAGAAATTATTGCTGTATACATGCTAAGTTGATTTAGAAATTAAAGCCCTAATGCTTATAGGGCCAAAATCTTCCTTTTTGGGTGCCATGGGTGGTACAAGCTACAATCTGCCCACAAGCCTGATAAATGGAAAGAGAAAGTAGGACTACAAGTGAGCCAAGATTCCAAATAACATTCAAAATCATCTTACCTGTACTCCTGACGTTGACCATCTTGGGAGCTACAGGTGAGGGTGGGATGTTTGAATGTGAGTGTATGTATATGAGGCTCAGTGTGGAAAAGGATAAGCAGAAGACAGGGCAGAAAGGAAAGATGGGGCATAAAAGCAGAATATATTTTTGTAAGCAGGCAGGAGTGATGCTTTACTTGGCTTATAGGCAAATGTTATGGATCAAATTAAAATGCAGGTAGGTCTAATCATTTTCTCAAACTATATACAACTAAACTAAATGGTACACTGGAAGAGAACGTCCACCTTATATGGGTGCTGAGAGTTAAATACACATATTTTCATATCTGTTCAGTGCTGACCCAAGTTGTGGCAATAAGTAATATAAAAACTGTCAAATTGTGCTCAGAAGGGGTAGTGACTGAATCTGTATTTCTTCCTCTCCTTAGTTTTCTACAAAAATAATCAGATATAAAGTGGACATTTACCTAAGTAACCACTTTAACATTAGATGAAGTGGGGGGGGTGCTGCCATTAAGAGCTCTTGGAAATTCTAACTTATAATACGAGTTTCAGAGAAATGAGTAATTTAGAGTCTCTGAAATATAAAGTTCTCTTGTTAGTCAAGAGTGCTTTATATCTCCTTCCTGCTTATGATGTGTTAGACAACATTTTTATTAGCATAAAAAATCTTCAGTTGCTTTGCTTAGGGTCTGTAAACACTCTTCTGAACATGGCCCTTCTCTGGTAGCAAATGTTTGTGTGGAATAAAGGAACCTAAGCTCCTCCCATACTGGCATGTGGTCAATAATATCACAATGATTTTCCAGTTAGATCAAATCAGTTTCTACCTCAAGAAAAATTCCTTTTCATTTAGTTTCTTTTAGTGTTTCTCCTGGAGTTGTCATATGCACTATGCACTCTTAGGTAGTAAGGAGGAAAAATGCATTATGAAACTACTAAAGTCTAGAAATTAAATTATTGAGGTTAATGGTGCTTCTTTATTAGTGGAAAGTATGGTTCATGCCTATAGAACACTACATAGCATAAAATGAAGAGAAAGCTACTAAAAAGCTCAAGATGGTGACAGGGACATGCACTAATTGGCAACCCTTTCAAATGGCTTCATTTGAAACATTCAGAGAAGAACTAGACTTGCTCAGGAAGCCAAAAACAGATTAAAAGGCAGCAAATAAACAAGGACCTGGTCCACCTATAGAAACTTGTATTAGGAGATACAAGATAGAGAGCTAGTCACACTACAGTATTTGTATGTGCTGGGAGAGTTTGAAAGGGAAATAAAATTAATTTATAAAATACCTAAAGTACGGTCCTTCAGTGTTTTTATTCACATCTTCTACCCACTTAGCTACATTATAGTCTCTTTTGAACCATGGGTTTAAATACCTGCAGAAAGCAATGGAAGGAACAAAGAAAGCAGAACAAGATAGAAAATCTGAAAATACATAGCACAAGCTTAGCCAGGATGTTTTCACCCTCCAAATGCAAGTGACCATTGGCAAATAAGTTAGGATGGATGTTGGTGCTTATGAGGCAGTCTACACAGCGGCATAAGACTAACCTCAGCTACATCAAGGCTCAAGGCATTCTAGAACTATTCAAATATTTCTGGGAAAGCCTTTTCCAGTGGCTTCTCACAATGAAACTGCCTGTCAGAAGTTCCATTCACCCACCTCTAAAGTGGCTTTTTTCCAGGCCACCTCTCATTTGGTTCCTTGGTTTTTTTCAAATGATAATGGTACTTTTTGAAAATATTCAGGTAGCTGCCATTCCAACCTGACATTTAAGCATATAAAACTCAGGACAATTTAAAGGAACAAAGTTCTCATAATAGCAGGATGAAAAGACTTTTTACACAGCCGCTGTTTCACTCCCCACAGTTGAGTCCAAGCTGGAGTCAACAGCAAGTACTCGGCTCTCTCTATAAGGAACAGAAGGGGTCCTACACTTTGATCCTAGAGTCCCACAGCATATTAAGTTTGGTCCAAATAGAACCTCATGGTTCTTGAATCCAAGTTTAGCAATGTAATTGCAGCCCCAAGGTTCCTTCCTCCTCTTTGGGCACTCCAGACTAAAATGTTCCCATTAGGAAATGGCCTTCAGAAGTTGCCTTCAGAATGTCTGATAGTGAACCATTTAGATGGCTGCCACAGAATCATAATGGCCTTAGCAACACCCTGATGGATCTGGTCACAGTACCATCAGGATACTGTGCAAATTTCTAAGAAGTAAAACTGGAAATATAGTTGGTTTTCCCTAGAGTTTCTTTAACTTTTTTAATTTTGAAATCAAGCAAAAACACATCCCCTTGGTATTTGCCTTACAAAATAATATTAATTTAACAGATTCAATGCTGGAAGAATTTTGGAGTTTTTACTGGGCTTTCTTACTTTAAAAGTAGCTTCCATAGCACCATAAGGCAATGAAGATCTAAGTCCTCTAAGACTTATTTGGAAACAAACTAGGAGAAATTATAAAATACATTGGTTTTAGTTAAAGTTTGTTTCTTTATACCAGTTATTTATTCATTATTTGTAAATATATTTAAACCCCAACCACTACATTTCCAGTTATATTTAAAAATAAGGTGATTTTTTCCATAGCCCTTTCCCTCATTTTTAGCCACAACCAAGGTATTCTACAAGAGAGCATTATGACCCCCTCCTGAAAGAAAGGTTTTGTTGATTTTTATGCTTATAAGACCATTTTTGCTGGGATAATGTCTCCTGACTCAGGAAGAACTCACATTAGTTTTGCCTTTAGCCACAATCATTGCCAACTTGCACTTTTCACAAAGATAGCCAATTAAAACTTGCATGAACATTTCCACTAGGACTTTGAACAAAAACAAAAAGTCAAAAAGCAAATGCAGCCACTGATGAAGGCTAGTAAATGCTCTGGTCTGGGGATAACTACAGAGAAAGCCCATGCAGCTGTTGTCAGGTGAAACATAGCCACACAGCAGAGTTTCCGGCAGCAGGCGGCCACTTCCTGGGGGGAGACCTTTGTTCCTTTCACTGACAATCTTAGAAACTTAAAAGGACAGGCATTATGGCTGATCCAAGAAAGTTCCAACCACATGGCTTGACTTGTAATTGATGGACCTTTTCCTCTATTTCAGAAGAGTGTGATCACTTCCCCAGAGCCACTGCAGCAAACTCTGGGGACCTGCCCAGGAAACTGTCTTCACACAAGCTTTCTAACATCAGTAGGTCATGGTTGCTGGAATGGTGGGACATTACCAAGCTACAATAAACCTGCCTACATGGCTTGACTTGGCTTGTTAGCGAAAAAAAAAAAAAAAAAAAAAAAAAAAAAAAAAAAAAAATGCATTGGGCAGGATAGGAGAAGCTCTTTATGTTCTCCATGGTGGAGAGGAAAATTAGCTGGTGCTGGCTGGACCAGGAGCGCCACTGAGCAGATACAGGGGCTCAGTCAAAGATCAAACAACCCTGTTCTCAGCCAAGGAGGGGACTTGGAGGGAGATTAAGTGGCAGCCCAGCATGAAGGGGCAGGTGGAGACTGACCTGTGATCCAGACTCCCTGTCTGGGGGCTGTCAGAGCCCCCTGAACTTATGCCTTGGGATGGGATTGTCTGGGCGAGGGAGTGCCCAGGCTCAGGTGCTTGGGGCTCCCTCCTGTAAAAACACAATATATAATACAAAGTCTAAGCCAAAAAATTTTTTACATAATGAACAACAATGAGGGAGATGCAAAGGCTTTGAGTGGGAAAACAATACAACCAACAAGGACACTCTGTTTTGTTTTCTTTTTGATTATCAGAGCATGCATTTGTGGTGCATGTTTTAATTCATGTCCCAACTTTTCATCATCCTTTGGGATGATGTGGTACTAAAGGGAATGCTGAAATATAGACATGACATAGTTCTTATTGTAAGGAAAGTAAAGCACATGTCTCTTGTGATCATTCTGGTCCTAGTATAGCCACAAAATGATATTATTATAAATTGCTAACATAATTATTTATATGCAATGTATCAGAAATTTTTATATTTCAGAAGTGTATGAATGTGTGTATATATGTGTACATATATATTCATATATACAATTCCCATGCGAGAAAGTTTATGAGAATAGCAGTCAGCGTCACAAACTGGCTCCATTTAATTAATGTAAGTCATGTAGCCAAAATCAAAAAATTCTAAAAAATCTGAGGGACTCCTTTCCCTCACTAAGATGATTCTATTATAATGTTATAGTACATATTATAACTTAATTATATCACAGGCAGGACTTCTCAAATGCTATCCATAATATTGTGATTTTTATCATGTGCTATAAGTAGAAATTTTACGGAAAAAAATTTAAAGAATTGATTGCTCTAGAAAATATTATATGAATACTGTTGAACACCATACATTCTTTGGGTCCTGAACACATAGCTTTAACACACTGTTGAACCTGATTTTCTACTTAGAAGTTGTGGAAGCCTAGTTATAGGAAATACTGTTAGAATACTAAACAGTCCACAAAGGAAGTTCTCTGGAGTACTTTGAAGTTTTATCTGTGTTCTTCTGAGCAACCAAGATAAGCTAAGGAACTCTTACCAGGTGACCTCATGCAAAACAAACCAAGTAACATTCCAAGAAGAGTTTATCTGCAGTGAGCCCTAAAGCATCTAAGCACCTTGGGAATGCATAATAAGATAAACTCTAGTAGACTCATTATTTTTGATGGAGTTCTATGATGCCATTCTGGACCATGCAATGGTATCACTTGAAACTGCTATTATTTCTAAGGTAAAAGTATCCTCTAATAATTGTAGATAAGTCACTTATAAGATAATACCATTCAGGTGGAAGGTCCAAATTTCAGGGCAATATTATTATTCCTAGACTGAAAAGGGCAAGGTATATATGACAGAAAACCTAAAGTAGTTTCTGACAGTCAGTTAACAAATACCTGCTACTCAGACTTTTTAAGTAATGAAAAGCAATAGAGATCCTGGAAATAATAACTACCACTACAGTGAGATAGAATTAGAAATTTTCAAGTGCCTTGAAAAACTAAGTGTAATTACTATCAAGGAGCAGGGTCAGTAGAAAAGGTTAAAGGGGAATAAAAGTCTGTGGAGGCTGTGTTTTGCTTGTACTTTCTTAAATGAAGAACAAACAAAAAATGAATGGTGTTTACTTCATTATAAGAGACTTTAAATTTAACTTTGAACCTGACCTTTACTAAAAAAAATATGGCTATCATTTAAAACAGTTAATGTTGCATTCGTGACAATGATTCAGTTAAAGAGCAAGTTTAGTAAATGCCCTTTTAAATGTCCTCAGAAGGAAAATTTAAAAGGGAAGCTCATTCCATTAGTCTGAGAGAATGCTTAGATTGCAGCCATGGAGACCTCAGAGTGCTGGCTTCAGACTGAGCACTGTCATGCTCTAACAGAGTGAGGATTCACCCCAAAGCTTCTAGCCTGTGAGTATCCAGGAGAGGAAGGGTGACCCTTTGAAATGGTTGGACCCCAGGCGATGACAAGAAAGGAATGCTATCATAATTCCCTTAGAAGGGAACCAAGACACCATAATGGCAGGTGACTGGAGGAAAAGCCTGCAGCAAGGGCGAGACCCCTACTATCAGTGAATATTGGCATGGGCACAGTTGCGGAGATGCCTATGTAAAAGAGAAAAGCCATGGTTAATTTTTTTACAGGACAAAGATAATTAAAAAGACAAAACCAAGACAAGAGGCATAGCAGGTGGTACTTTTGACTGTCTGCTTAATTGACATTTGACACTAATTGTACAGGACCTTGGAATGTCTTTTCCCATTACAGGTTACAACTTACTCAGTTGAATTAGATCGAGGTCTAAATCTTTTGCCTCTGATTTTCTTTCTGTTGCCTCCCAGGTTACCTGAAAAAGAGTGTTCACAGCTACAGTTCCATATAGATAAATGACTGTTTTACATTCAATTACACGAATACAGCCTCTGTGGCACTGTACAGCCTTCCCAATGTTTCCTGTGTATTCTCCTATGAAACTCTGTCATTTCCCATCAACGAAAATGTAAAAATAGTGCCAAAAACAGAAACAAACAACTGGTCTCTTATTCTAAACCTCTTTGTTGGGAGAAGAGCTGAATCACAAAGGAAAGAATACATCTTGACATCTAAAGACTCAGAATGCAGATCTTGGACTCAGAATATTGGTCTATACCTTGCCAGGAATTACTTCGAGGTCTCCCATTTTCACAGATGTCTGAAATATGCTTTGTGTCTGGAATCCTTTCACTCCAGGAATGAGAGAGTCCATTTGACCTGAAATTAAAAATATGTATATATTGTTTAAAATGTAATCAGACAAATGTTTTGGAATCACTAAGCAAAATTTCTAATTATCACTGTACATAAAATAAATCAATAAAAATCTGGGAAATGAAAGAATGAAGAAAATATGAAAGTCTTCATGAAGAAGGCAGAATTACACAACATCCAATTTAAGAAAAGTCAAATACAATGGAACCCCATTACAATTATTCATAAATTAAAAATATCAGAATAAAATGCAAGCCAATTTACATTCTCCAGAACACATCACCACATAGCAATTCATGTATTTCAGTCACAAAACCCCACTAGCAGAATTATAATGGGGTCCCACCATAGATGTTTCTTAATTGTAAAGCAATGATTTCCATTCAAATATTATGAGAACATGGACTTTTAAGAGATTACACAAAATTTGCTCAACTGAACCTGGTTAACTTTATCAAAATGAAACATGGTTTTTTTTAAGGGTTTTTTTTTTTTTTGCCCCAAAATAAAACTATTTTCTGAGAATTGGCATTTTTCTATACAAATATGGCCCAAAGATCACAATACACTGTAGTGAATTGTCTAGTAACTAAACTGAATCAGGTCTTTATCATGGAAGTATCTCTCACAAAGCCCATGTACCATTGAGCCCCTCTCTATTAGTATCCTATTATAATTAAAGGAATTATCTACAAGAATAAAAATTTACACACCTACCTTATACCACATGAGAAAAGAATTGTAACAAATATACTCAGAAGTCTAATGGTTTGATATGCTTTTGATTGCTTAAAATCATAACCTATTGCAATATTTCCCCAAATCTGAGAATTAGTCAAATGGATTTTAAAGTTCCTTACTGGATAGTTTAGAAAACAACACTATACTTTAGAAAACAACCACTTTTCCACATATCATGCTGGTTAACTGCTCATAGTATCAATTTGAAAAGGAATCTTTTTCTGATGAGTGAAAATCAATGGAACTTGACAACATTTCTAGGTTGGAACTTTATCAATATCATTTGCTAATTATAGATTAATCCATATTATGTATGCAAGGATAACAAATGTTCCTGAAACCCACTGATTTCTCCATTTTCACTGTTATTTAATTTAAATTCTGTATTTGACAAGAAAATATTTGTATGGGAGAATCCTAGTAGATCCCTAGTCACCTTCTTGTACCCAACAAGTTCTCAACAATAAATTAAAAGAATACACTTTTAAAAAACACCCTTCTATAGAACTATACTTCTGGGCTCAAAATTAGCCCTGTTTTTGCTTTGAGTTCTGTTATATAATGAAACCCCATCTTCTTTCCTTTATGTTTAAACAAGTTCTCAGTTTCTTCTATGTTCCTTCTTGCTTAATGCTTACAAGGACTGAGCACCAATGAAGAATTTTTTTTTTTTTTTGATAGGCTCTCCCTAATCCCAGCCTTCCTGGAACTCACTCTGTAGACCTGACTGGTTCCAATCTCACAGAGATCTGCCTACCTCTGCCTCCTGAGGTCTGGAATTAAAGGTGTATGCCACCATGCCCAGCATTATCAATGCAGAATTTTTACAGATGATCCACCCTATCTAGAATACCAGAAGAGATCATGGTTGTTCTCAATAAATTAGTTTTCTCATTCTACAAAGTAACAAATGTGCCCAGTCATGCATAGGTCTACTAAAACTTTCTCTATCCATTACACTTCCTTGGCAACTTTAAAGAAATTCTTCTATATAAGAATACTTTGGTTTCTTTCAATATGAAGATAGGTCTCACTCTCTGACGCATCCTATTTATTTCTTCTGGTCATTTAATTTCAGCCAGTTATAAAGCATGCGGAATTTTAAAAGGTATCATACATCTTAAGATATTAGAATGAGAATATATATTTACCACTTGAGACATATAAATAATATATTCATCCTACCTGTACTATTATAAAACTAAGGCAAATATTAACCATACTTGTCAACTAAGGTGAAATTTATAAAGTCTACAAATAATCATTCCCAAAAAAGCAAATTCATAATATTCAAATATGAATCACAGAGAAGCAATCTTTTCACAACAAACAGCTTTGAAATATATAAATTAAAAACTATTCAAAGCAGCACTTATATTACCAAGTTATCTTAACTGAACTTATTGAAGCATGACAGTAACCTTTTTCTTTGACTACCAAGCATGACATAGCTCACCATTTAAATGTCATCCAATACCACATATAGTTTCTTAAGTCATGTACAGTACGACTGAAAAACCCAGGGGTTTCTAAACAGATTTAGAGTGACTGTTTTATTTGTTTCAATTTTGTGGCCTGATTTGTAGAAGTGGTTCTGAGCATATGGCATTTTGAAATAGAGTAATCAAAGAAGAAGGGATACTATTTTTTTTAACATTCAAGAAAGAAGGAAGAAGTAATCAAACCTGCTGCAAAATAATGAAATGTTCTGACTAATGGAATAATGTGTGATGGAACAGGTGGAAATCTGAAAATGCGACAGAAAAGCAGACCTCTTCTTAGAACTAGATGCTGAGTTTGTGCCGACTCCAGGAGGAATGTCGCTATAAAAAGAGTCGCCATCTCCAGGCTTTTTTACATAATCTCCCTGGGGTAACTGTCTAAGGCATAATAAACATTTCAGAGTCAGAAAACAAGACAAACACATGAACACAGACATATACAAATATTATTTCAGGAAAAAAGAGAGGTAGGGATAATGGTCTACATGAATCAAATATATAACACATAAGATTATTAATAAATGCAACAAGTTCAACTCATTCTAGCTGCAGAGGTCAGAAATACAACCATGAAGTCTTTGAAGCTGGATGAATAAAGCTTTCAGGAGAAATATGGAAAGATGAGTTATTTTCATTATAAACTCATTCTACTTGAAGATGTTAACTGCAATTAGTTTTGTCTTTAAAAATTGATGTTGAAGATACGTTTAGATAATCCTTGCTCAGATAAAGCAGTTTTTTTTTCAATGTGGTGAATAAACTATTTGTGATTTGAAATAGATGATGAAAGTAACCTTGATTTAGTTTTTAAAGATTTGAATGGTTTCTATGTTATTCTGTAACTAAGACTAATAAAACCTTGGCACTCAGGCTGGAGCTTTGCTACTTATTTAAAAGAAATAACAAGAAATTGACAATATTCAAAGTGGAATCAACACTGTAATTTTATATCAGACAGTAGACTATGTAAAGGAATATAACTGAGCAAGAGGAAGAAAGATTTGAAAAGCAGCTGAGTTTTTAGGGAGACTGTGGACAGGAATTTATGACAGATGGTGGTAACAGTTCTCTATCTCCACTGTAGCAGGAGTGCAAGAAGGGCCATCTGTTTAACCTGCACTGGACCGGAAGCCACTCGCCTCATTCTGAATGAACTAAGATCAGCACAGCTCTACTATTTCTCATGAGGGAACTGGACAGAAATGTTAGTTAGGCCCCTAGACAATTCTCCCACAAGCCAGTCTAATTATTTGTCAACGCATGGCCTTCCAAACAGAGTGCTTCCAAATCTTGATTGGTTTCATTCAGTACAGTATGTGGAGGTGTCAAAAGCTAGCAACTGACCAAGAATTGTTATACTTAAAAAAGTCTCCAACAAAAGCATGAATTCTCTAGCCCCCTTTCCAGTCCAGCTTCTCTTTAGCTATCCTGAGTACCTGCAGATGCTAAATTTTATCCCTTAAACATTTTCAGATGTTTGCTTGCTCATATTGATTTTTATAATGTTGAAAATATTTAATATACTTAGTATATAGTTCTTTCCAAAGACCAAACATCTTCTTCCAAATTATTTGGATATAATATATCCACATATTATAAATCTAAAAAAGAATTTTCAGACAAATAAAACATGCATTTTGATTTTAATTTGTGATTTTTAACTACTCCATATAGTAACTATAGAAAATAAACTAGAGTGTAAGACTAATTCTACTCTTGACTGATAAGAGGTTCTTCCAAAATATTTTTAATTCTGTAAGTAACTTTCAGTCTTAATGGTTACTAAATAACATTAATTTTTAGGACAAATAATGTAAGCCTCTATTTTTATAATATTGATAAGCACATAACAAATAAGAGCCTTCCTATACAAGAAATCTCTTATCTCTGGAATTGTATTTTGTTTTATCCTATGTCAGAAAAAAATACTCTTTTAATACTTGAAAAAAATGCCCTCAATAAAATCAGGGCATTTTATTTTGTCTGAGGAAGGAAATTTTCCTTTTATATCATATTAAAACTTATTGAAAAAACTATAGACTGTTTCAGTACTATCTCATTTCCAGTAATAATTTTTATTAGTTCCTTTTGTCACTATTACCATTAATGACTATTTTGTTACATTTATGTATGTGTGTGTGTGTGTGTGTGTGTGTGTGCGTGTACACACACACCACAGTGTATGTCAGAGGTCAGACAACAACTTGTGAGTCTATCAGTTCTCTTTTCCATCATGTGGATCCTGGGAATCAAACTCAAGCCATGAGGCTTAGCAGCAACTGCCTTTACCCACCTAGCCACCTAACAAACCCCTAATGATTCTTTTAATAGGGTTATGAGCTGTGCCTCAACAAATTCAAATTTTCAAAAGCCAAGCTCTTTCAAAGCTCTTCTGGAAGAGCTCAGAACCAACTTGACCTTCACATTACTCTGATCTACCAAATGGCCTCCTCCTCACTTCCCTTCCCTTCATACTCAGTTGATGGGCCCCATTTTGGTTTGCCCTCATCTGGGCATGTTTCACCATCTCTTTAATGCAACCTCTCTGTAGCCCATGGCCATTTTTGACACAGTACACAAATATTTCAAAAGCAAAAATATTAAGCTGTAGGCTTCAGTATCAAGGCTAGAAAAATTTCAGTCTAATACAATTCCAGGACATTACATCCTTTTATCACCTTGGCCACATGGGTCCTTACCTATCTCCACTAGGGAAGTCTCCAGAATATAGAAGCTACCTCTTAGCAGTCTCCTCAAATATCTCACAAATAATGGAAGCAGCTTTCTTTGTATGGTAAATGTCAGTGATAGATTATGAATTTTGTTGCAGATTTCTTAAGAATATTTAATATCTAGGAATATATGCTTTCTACAATATTCATTACAAATTTTAAAAACAACCACTCATTGCTTTAGTGAAGATAGAGAATATCAGGTCCCCAATAAAATAACATTTCATCATTTGCTCCAAAAAAAAAAATAGAAGACCAACTTGACTTAAAATTTTTCACTGAGCCTCTTTTTCCAATTCTTTACTATTTTTATGACTTCTGTCTTAAGTTTTTGAGTGCTTTTTTACTGTGTCTTCAAATTTGGATCCTAAAAGTGATTAGGTGGCCTGAACAGAGCTAGGTTTCAAGTGGGAAAATTACTGTATATTTATCACATTATATGCAAATATTATATATATATATGCATGTCTATATATAAATAATTACCAAAAGAACATAAGTGATATGCAACCAAGCTCTTTTTCCTTAAAAATAAAAAAAAACTTTCCTAAATTAATTGCAGGGTATCTTTTTTTTCTCCTATGGGTGGAATGAATGCACCTTACTAAATAACATTCTTTTAAAGGAATTTCTGTTCTTTATCACCAGAGTCAACTCCTGGAAGAACAGACCATAGAAACTGCAATTACTATTCCTCAGCTTGACAACTTCCAAGGTTACTGACTGTTTTTCTTCCACCTCAGAAGACAGTGTGCTCATGGTTATACCATTTAGAGTTGAGCTTTATAAATTTAAACATTAAGGAGGACTTTCTTTCATTATCCCAAAAGCCCTTAGCCAAATCGATGGTTCTGTTATGACAGAAATATGACTTTCCCTAAAAGTATCTATTTATTCATAATATTTATGTCATCAAACCTTATGCATACCCAAAACTTTAAAAGTGGGGGAAAAAAAATCACATTGGTGCTGAAGGAGACAGTTCTCCAATTCCTGTTTCATGCCTGGACTATTGCCTCTTTTAACAATATGCCCAGCATGATAGCACATGCCTTTAATCCCAGCATTTGGGAGGCAGAGGCAGGCAGGAGATTGAAGCCAGCCTGGTCTACAGAGGGAGTTCCAAGCCAGTCACTGCTAGCTACATAGTGAGACCTTGTCCCCCCCCCAAAAAAAAGTGTGTGTTTGAGAGAGAGAGAGAGAAAGAGAAAGAGAGACAGAAACTGGCCTTAGTCTCAGAGATCTGCCTGCCTCTGCCTCCTGAGTGCTATATTAAGGGCTGTATTACTACACCTGACACCACAATTGGACATTATTTATAAACAAATGCAAAAAAAGAAAAAGATAAATCACAGGTTTACCTTTAACCAGATAGCCCTCTCCAAGAAAGTCAAGAGCTTAATGCCAGAATATCCAGAAAGGAGGGTCTGTGGCTATTTCAGGTAGCTTCCTAGATTGGATGCTACGTTACAAACTGTAGCATAGTGCTTCTTGGGTCTTTATAACTCTACAATTAAGCATCCTTGTCATGTGTGTCATGGAATGTGAGAGAGAGAGAGAGAAAGAGAAAGAGAGACAGAGAGAGAGAGAGAGAGAGAAATAGTATATAAGATATACCAAGTCATGTTGGTAGATGCATAAATATCACTGAAATAATAAAAATATGAAAAGAAACCAAGAAAGATTTGGGAAGGAAAGATTGGAAAATAAGATAGCTAAAACAGGCAAGAGAAAAAGAAGTGGTGGGAAGGAATTCTGCTTAAAGTAGGATCTAACTATTACATTCCTTGTCAATCACAGTTATGTATATCTACTTCAGACAAAGGAAAGGATTTCGTCCAAATATGAATGCTTTATAAATTTAAATTCAGCTCATACTCCTTATTCTATTTCTATCTGCAAACCTGACTGAAAACTAAAATTTACAATTCTTGCTATAAATTATATAGCTGCTAAGTCATATGTATTTATGACATAAGAAACAATAAAATTGATCAGAAACAAAAGGCAGACATTTTCTGGAGGTTTTAATGAAAAATATATCTTTGTAATTACTGAGTATCTAAGGCTTCATTTTGGCTCCTTGGGTCCACAGTGCCAAGACGCCATCAGCAGATTGGAGGGGGGGTCCACTTCCATTATGTCCCACAGTGGGGGCTTCTATTTTTTTATTTAGTAGGAAGTTTATTATCAGATTCATTTCTAGAATTACTGTTGTCCCTGAGAACTTGAAAATTATACCCAATTTGACATTTCTGAGCCATTTCAGTATTTTCATCTGGCAAATGCCTACATATTTAATACAGCTTGAAAATTTAATGTCAAAGCTAAACTTCATGCTTTACCAGCCCAAAGGAATGTATGAGTCTCATTCTGGTTGACAACCTTCCTCTTCCTTAACCATAATGCTTTAAAGATTACAGAGAACTTTGACTTTAGAGTTGAGAGAAGTTAAAGCGATTTCCCTTCATCACATAATAGTACATTTCTAACCTCTTGTCAATAGGACTTCCCACCATAGAATGTTAAAGGAAATCCCCAATTTAAAGGTAAGTATAACCCCAAAATTCTTGGTTTTATTTCCTGGCATCTTTTGGAACTGGGTGGGTCTTTATTTGAATGTCTGAAGATAACTTTATAAGAATGAAAATGTACTGAGGAATACTGTGACTGTTGGCCTACCATTTCCTCTATGATTATTAATATATTGTAAAAAGAATAATACTAAAAACACTTCTAGTCACAACTTGATCTAAAGTACATTTTTTTACTCTCCACAGTAACATACAGTAAATTACAGTACACGATAGTTTAAGAACTATTACAAAAAGCTAATATTTATCCACTATGGACAAGGGGGAAAGTTTTGTTGAAATATAACCAACTACATACAACAAATTATTCTGAAGCTGGAACAACTCTTAGGATATGGACTAGATTTCAAGAGTGGCCAGATCAATGGAATAGTGAATTTTAAAGTATTAACTTTATCAGACAAATAAAGGAGATTGACAGTGTGGCAATGTGTTTAATCAGAGTAAGAAATTGGTGCATACTTTTAAATATCGATCATTTTTGCACAGTGTAGGCAATTTATGTATTTTGTATAGCATTCTGGGGAGAACATAGCTTAGGGCATTGTTTTAGGTTTGCTTAAATTACATTATTTGAGGCATTTTATTTCCTTTCTGTATGTTCAGCAGCATTAAACTACATCATAGACACAGTTCCTATGGAAATGGAGTTGGGTCATCACATTTTGATCTTATGAACTTAATCCTATTTTCTGAAGAAAGCCACCAATTTTAGATTTCTTATCTCTTTATTTTTATTTTATGTGTGTGAGTGTTTTGCCTGCATGTATGTAAATGCATCTGTGCTGTGCGTTGGCTATGGAGGTCAGAAGAGGGCATCCAATCCCCTAGAACTGGAGTTACGGAGTTATTAGACACCATGTAGATGCTGGGAACCAAATCCAGGTCCTCTGCAAGGGCAGCCAGTGCTCTTAACCACTGAGACCTCTCTCCAGCTCCAATTTTAGATTTGTGATGTGACTGATCAACTTCTATCCAACGGCAAACCTAAACAGCTCCTGCTCTCTATTCACATGCTTTTGTACACAGAATTTAAGACATATCACAAAGAAATCTAGCTGTCTTTAAAATCCAGAAAACTCTTAGTTTTTCTATTGCATTAGTTAATCCAGGAAAATGTCATTATTTCTAGTATCTAAGGCTAGGTATTACAACTTATTGTTCCAATCACAGTTATGGCCAGCATTTCAATTGATACTTTGTGGATACCAGGTATTCATAAGATTCTATAGACATTTACAGGCAAAGCCTTAAAGGAGTTTTACATGGCAATATAAAGGAAATAGAAGAGTAAAGTTTAAATTTTTGATTTGTGAAAAGATTAATGTTGTGGTCAAAGTCTGAAAAGATTTTACCACATTCATCATACATATTCCCAAACTGCCACAGGCACTCAATGGAACAAAGGAAAACTAAGCAGGAATCCACATAAACACCTTGAGCACAGGATTAAATAGCATATGATGTGCAAGACCCAGTGTGGGTTATCAAATTCCAGAATAATACTCTAAGTTTTTTATATCAATAGAATGTAGAATCAATACATTTTTAAATCGGAAAAGTGAAAGGTCTATCTCAATCCTATATCAATTTGGATAAAATCTGAAATTCTTATAAAAATTATGACTGCTTTGTGCCTTTTTATGCTGATGGCTAAATGGAAATTATACAGTTATGCTAAATAAGTATTTGACTTTCTCTATGAATGTTTTTTTATTAAAAAATAGTACAGGAGGCAGAGATTCTAACTACGCAAATTTCCTCTTTAACCACCATTATCATTAACTAACCAATTCAAATAGTATTTTCTTATATAAAGATAGCAGGATCAGTAAGAACAGAGTATTCCCTTGAGAGCAACAAATGACAAACTTTGTCACTTATGAATGGAAGCTATTAATATAGCAGTAACAAAGAAAAACTAAATTCCCTCAGACAGTATTAATAAGAACATTAGAAACATGAAGAAAAGCCAATAAACTAATGTAAAATACATGACAATTTAACATAAAGGGAATTTGTTTTACATGAAAAAAATCAATTTCTATTATATTGCTATAAAAATAGCGATTTTAAATTATTATTTCAGCATGAAGAGTCAAGATCATTATTAAATGAACCACTTAAAACTGCATTATGAATTTCAATAATGATAAGAGTTAACCTTTTCAGCCATATGTTCAAATCTTTCTCATCACATACCTCTGTTCTCGATAGTTTCTGTTCATAGAAGAGAAGAAGAAAACACAAGCATTAGTTATCTATAGCAGCACATGAACAGAGCTCTAAACATAAAAATCCTAGCATTTACTAAATGATTGTCACTGGAGGAATTTGAATGCCAAAATTAAAATGAGGAATACATACAAAGTTTTCACTTTATCATTAGAAGAGGTAACACCAAAAGGTTAGTGACAATATTGTCAGATAATTACTCATTTTAAAAAGCATAAATTGTAATCACCAAAGAGTAACTTTTATAAACATCTGCTGAATTGTATTAAACATTTATTAATGTTCTAAAGATAATGCTATTCTAAATACAGGTTTCTGGGGTGGGGGGTGGTTTAAATAATCCAAAAATTAATGAATAAAGTTACTTACAAAAATTAACTATATTTTCATAGATACGGGGTTCTAACTTATTCCTATTGGAATACCAACACCCAACTATAGCTCTTTCTAAGAATTTCAAGGACATAAATGTATATCAGAGCATTCTATTTATAATGTATGGCCAACAAAATGAGTTAAAAATCCAGCTTCCGGGGCCCCACTCAGGTATTAATAACCTGAGCTTCACACTCAACGCATTTGTTTAATGTTTAATTTCTGGTTTTTACCTGACCACGAGCTAAAGTAAACTTGGGTGACTTTCAAAATGAACTGATCTTACACTAAAATTTCTTCAGAAGATTGCACTAGCAGTAATTTTTCAGAAGTCACTGATTGTCTTGATATAATGAAATCCTAATATTTTGAAGGCACGTTAGAAAACAGGTCATCTGTGTTCCTTTCTCTAAGATTAAGGACAAGCTGCCCCCTGGAACCTTCACCTGCCAGGCCATCCGGTTCAAATCATAAGGACCATGATGGGCACATAAGGGTAAAAGTGACAATCTGGCACTATTTTTTTTCCAGAAAATATCAGAGAGGGGAAATATAAACCTGGTATCTTTCTACAAAGTGTTTTACTTTGGAATCCTTCACTCCTGAGACCTGAATCAGAAAGCTCCAAATGAATGTTCTTCATTTCCTATTCCCAAGCTCAAGGCTTGGAGACAGGGTAGAATATAGTTGGAAAAAGTAATGAGGAAAAGGGTTCCCATGTCCTAAGTCTGCTTTTTAACTTCAAATAGAAAATACAAAATATGTTAATAGTTTGAAGCCTCTACTAAAATTTATACATTCTGATCTATTTCTAAATATATTCTGAATAATTTTAGAAACTCTAAAATTTTGATCATTTGGGTTCAAATTATTTCAAAAAAAGATACTGTAATATAAGATCTTTTTTCTTAATCTGCAAAGTGCATATATTTAGAAATACTAAAAATAAAAAATGTAAAAACCCTGAAAGAAAACAAGTAATTTCAACTGACAAAGGTAATTTTATAAGCAATAGGTATGTTTTGGTTTCTTATTTTCTGAACAGCCCATTTTCCCAAGAATGTAAAAATAAAATATCTACTTCCATTCAGGTGCTCTAAAATGAATTTCATGTGACCAAATGAAAGCATTAAGGTATTGGGAAATATTAATGCTTGTAATGGCCCTTACTATATGTGTCCCACATCAGAGCCTTTGAGGAAGAGGGCAACTACAAAATAAAGCTGATTGCCTGTGGCATGAGGAGAGATCAAATTATAAATATATAGCAGGGCATGATGGTTCACACCTTTAGTCCCAGCACTTGGGAAACAGAGTTCGAGGCCAGCCTAGTATACATAGTGAGTTCCAGACGAACCAGGGCTACAGGGAAACCCTATCTCAAAAGGACCAAAAAAAAAAATTTATAAATACATAGAAATGCTTTCTTTTCAAACACATAATTTTATGACTACCTAAATCACACTATGAAAATTTCAGTGTGCAATATGCTCATAGGTACTGAGAATCTGCTATCAACTGATATAGAGCTAGCTACTGATTTATCAGGGCAAGGCTTACTATGCCCTGAACTCTTTAACTGGATTATGTCATACACAGCTGGGCCATGCTGTTTCACTGTTGTGCATTTAAGATCTCAGTATACTATATTCTGGCAGTAAAATAATTGCTCTCCTTTTTCAGACAATGAAACACTTTCAGGGTTTTAATTTCACAAGAAATTGGTACATATACCTTAAAGATATCTCCTTTGATTCAACTGGTTTAAGATGATGTCAGGTGATAATCACAGCAAACCATTACATAATGCTTACTGTGAGCCTGTCACTACTCTGAACATTTGACATTATTAACCCACAGAACAAAGACGAGTCTGTAAAAAGTATGAAGTAAATTTTTAATCTAAATTATTTTAATGCTCAACTTGCTGACCTATGTTTGATCCATGAGGGAAAGTGTGCTTTGAAATGAGGTAATGCCTAGAGTGCAGGTCTTCCAAATGGAAAGTCTCAGGCTGTGGGCTGACTGGAAAATCATCTTCAGAGACAGCAAAATACAGTTCAAAGTTGAAATAGTAAAGAAAACTATAATAGTTTGGATCTGAAGTGCTACCCAAACACGTGTGTGTTGAAGGCTTGGTCCCATGTAACAGTGTTCAGAGCTTGGATCTTTAGGCAGTGATCTAGTTACGGGAGTTCTGACTTCCATAGTTCTTATAAGACACCCTTAAGATTGATTTTAATTCACTTCAATGATCTTAAGACAATATTCAATACTTCCAGAATAGGAAAGTTGTTTCAAAATCGAAAATGTAATAAATTATCATTACTTCTAGTCATGCCCAGGGTAAATATTGACTGTTAAACCAGACTGATTCTCAATGCAAGCACAAAGCTAATGATAACACTACCTTCCAGATGTTCTCATTTAATCAAAATATTTTGTAATTATATTTAAAAAATTTTAAATTCTGTGTACATAAGTGTGGGTACCTGAGGAGGCCAGAGTGTTGGATCCCCTGGAAGTGGACTTATAGGCAGCTGTTACCCACCCAACATGGATGCTGGGAACTAAATTCAAGGTCCTGCCTGAGAAGCATTCATTCTTAATCATTAAGCCTTCTCTCCATCCCTAATAAAACTATTTTAAAGTATATTTTTATAGCAACAATACTGAAACATTTGACTTACTTATAACCCCAGGCAGTTATTCCTAATATGAGGGCCAGCACCAAAATGGTGCCGGCAATTATCCCTATTATGATATTGGTGCCAGCAACACCTGGAGGGGAAAAGAAGAAGGAAAATCAGTGGGGGTGAAATCCTCTCATTTGTAACCATCACAGTAAGAACATATTTGTTTTGGAAAACAGGTCAGTGGCCTTGTCTTACTCTAAGTCTTGGCATGTCTACCCACTCTATTCTTCCAGAGTTTTAAACAGGGATCAATAAATTTGCATGACTATTTCTAAGTAATGTCTTTTGGTAAGTCATTGAGATCTATATACTATAAACATTTTCATCTCTGCACTGATCATGGGAACAAACATCAACTTCCTTTGCTATTGCTGTCTGAAGACTTCAAATTCTTACTCTGTGGCCTTTTTATTAAAATCACATTATTAAGATTTTAAACCTGTATAAATAATTCAAATGAGTATATATTCCTTTGTTCTCAGCCTTGGGAGGTGACTGGACTTCGTGAATTAAGCATTGCTTCATGCAAAAGGATCCACAGTAAAGTGAAATAATGAAATTGTTTAAAAGAAAATATTTATCTCCCAGGTATGAGTTCTTTCAATAGTCTGCACTTAATTTCTTCTTTTCTTCGTAGGCCAATCGTTTAGAACTTCCCTTCCTAGAGTTTCTGATACATGTCCTCAAACCCCATCACTTTAACCAAGATTACTGCTTCTAGCTCAGACTATGTAAATCAAATTCTATAACAAAGTTCAAAATAAAATATTTAAAACCATTCTTTTTTCCTTATTTATTCAGTATAAAAGTATATAATTATCCTTTTAAATTGAGTACTTTCTTCATTTAAAAGAAATGCAAGGAAAAGAAAAACACAACAACAACAAAAAAAGGCATGAAAGTAGGATGGGAACCTTCTGGAAGGAAGGGGAGGTTGGTGAAGGTAAGAGGAGCATAAGTCAGGGTGGAGGGGTGAGTGTGACCAAGACACATTAATGAATTCATGGACTGGTTGGTCAAAGAATAAATCAATTAAAAAAGAAATACTAGAGTTTGTTTACAGCCTCAGAGATGTATAATGCTTGAAAACTCTCTGAAGTAGGACAGGATAAGGCTAAATCAGTCAACTAAACTATACTCTGTATGCCAAACAACTGTAGCTCCACAAGTGGACACCACTCATGTAGAGGTAATTTATTTTGTAGAGGTCATATATTTGTTATAATAAAAATAACCCAAATATAAATGTCCACAGCGCAGTTTTTTCTTAACTCAGTATTATACCGTATTTATATGTTAGTAAACTTATGTACCTACCGTTGCCAGACAGTGTGATGCCAGCCTTTCCATCGTCACTGTGAGGGAAGGGGGTACTGCAGTCCAAACCTGCCCAGTGCCTGTTACACACACACTTCAGCTCATTACTGCAAACCTGAAGTCAAAGGCCAGCTAGGGTAAATATCAATTCTCTAGTATAGAGGCAGGAGAAATAAACACTAATTTCTAATTTTTATGCACAGGATTTAATGATACTGAAAAAGTTTTAGTACCGTCTTCTTAATTACTTTATTTTTTGCTCCAATATTTTAAAAATATATCGCACGCACACACACACACACACACACACACACACCGCTCATTCTTTGATCTGTTCATTCAACATTTATTTAGTAAGAGGGGAATTAATCTATTTGAAACAACAAATCAATGAAATTATTGCTTTGAATTTTATTAAATGTTATGAAAAAGATACGCAAAAGTACTTATATATAAACTACCCAATACAAAGGATTTTTTGTTTCCAAAGAAAGCCTTTATCTCCAATGTTATTAACTTTTTAGAATACAAAATGAGATAAAAACAAGTCCAAGCCTGGCGTGGTGGTGCACGCCTGTAGTCCCAGCACTTGGGAGGCAGAGGCAGGGGGGGCTTTGGGGAATTAAGGCCCGCCCCTCTACCTAGTGGGGTTCCGGGAAGCTGGGGGTTTCACGGAGATCCTGCCTCCAAAAGAAAAAAAAAAAAAAAAAAAAAAAAAAAAAAAAAAGCCCAAAGGACTAGGGGTGCAGTTCAGTGGTAGAATGCTTGCCTAGCATGTACAAGATCATGGGTTCAATTCCAATGCTGCAAAGGAAGAAAAAGAAAAGAGGAAGAAAAATTCACAAAAAAGACACCAAACATCTTCCCACAGGTCTTGCTACAAAGCAGGATCTACCCCTAGATCTTATAATTCAGAAAACTGAGTGGAGTTGGGCATAGGAGTGAGGTGCTAGGTTTATGAAATTCCTCCTGAGCCAGGTTGTCACAGCAGGGGTCATTTCTGTCATATCTTGTCATTTTCCAGAAGACAACATATATCCACATATAAATGTAACTATAAAATAACTCCACTAGGAGTTTCAGACTAAACAGAAAGGGTTAGGGTTTAAAGTCAAAAGGTCTGGATTTAAGTCTCCATTTCATTACTACCTTCCTAAGGGACTATACCCAGGTCACCTGGCTTTTCCAAGTGTCAGCTTCCATATCATATGACAGTGTTAGTGATCCAGGGACAGGAACAGTCAGGAATAGTAAGTAACATAGCTAACGTTTACTGAACACTCACTATGCCCAAAATATTGTTTTAAGTGCTTTACAAGTGTTAATTCATCAATTCTTCACAACAGTCCTAGAAAGTAGGCACTATTATTCTCATTTTACAGAGAAAGAAACTGAGTTACAGGGAGGCTAATTTGCAACATCACTCAGCTTGCAAGAAGCAGAGCTGGGATTCAAAGTCACCTAATGGAGGTATGTGGTGTCTTCAGCAGTAGCATCTCACCATCAAGTTCTGGAGGGTAACCAAAAGCAATGGCAAGAGCCTCTAATGTTTGGGGGCTTGGGGGACCCCAGTGACGAACAACTCCAAAAGGGGCAACCCATACCTGGAACTAGGCCTTTTATATCATAGCCTATGCTGTCTGGGAGGGACTTTCCCTTATTATAGGGTAACTTCATTTAACTCCTTTTATATGTGTGTTTAAAAGGAAGCCTGTATAGTAGTAGTAGGTTTCCACATGGCATTTCCTAATGTCTTTACTGTTAGTTATGTGGCTGTGGCAGCTATTTATGTTTGGTTCTGAGTTGTCAGACCACCCCAGTAGTTAAATAATTGTGGCTCATTCACTCCATTCTTTAAAAATTTCCATCCTAGTTTTTTTTTTGTTTTGGTTTTTGTTTGTTTGTTTGTTTGTTTTTTGGGTTTTTTTTTTTTTTAATCTTTTTGAGACAGGGTCTCCCTGTAGCCCCAGTTGGCCTGGAACTCACTATGCCTGCCTTTGCTCCTGAGTGTGCACCACCATGCCCGGCTCCATTACGGTCCTTATTAACATTTGTCTTCTAATTCATTTGCTTAAGGAAGACTATAATTTTTCATTTTCTCAGACTTTTCAGATTACACAACAAAAACATTCAAGTAGTTTTGATCAAACTAGTGTTCGCATGCCAACCAGAACATGGATAATCACATTTTCCACAATTAAGGAAATATAGGAATTCATCTATTTCTGTGATATAAAAAGAATGAATGGCCCCCATGATGAGGTGCTGATACTTACTCCATTTCCTGAGCAAACACTGCCTTCTTTATTGCTTAAGCAAGTGCTGAAGTTGAAGGAAGCCACAGGAAGACACCTGTGTTCTAAGCACATCATTTGAGGACCACAAGGTGTCCCATCTTCCACATAGCCAAGATCAACATCTTCTTCAAGCTTAACATGCCCACCACTAAAAATAAATTGGGAGCAAAGAGAAAATGGGACTCCATTCATTCATATTCACCTTGAGTATATGCTCAAAAACTAAAATGTGTACAATACCACTTCTCTAATCTCCTATATTTCATTTAATAAAAACCAGTAATAAAACCATGCTCACATTCTTGTAGTCTTGCTTCATTGAGACAGGATCTCATATAACCTATGCTGGCCTCAAATTCCCTGTGTAAGCCAAATTGGCCTGACTTCTGATTCTCTTGCTGCCATTTCCCAAGTGCCAGGATTTTACAGACATGCATCGTCACACACAGCAATATGTTCTTGTAAGTGGAGAAAACAACTGAAACTTTTGATCTAATGCTTTTCAGAGACAATGAACAGTTTCTTTTTTAAATTTTTTTTCCTTTTATCATCCAACAGTTTCAAATTAAACAAAATTATAAAAGTAAGGGCCTGAACTGAACTAGCTCTATTAATTTTTCCTTGGATGCCACATTAAATCTAACTGGTTTAATAACAGATTTCAAATGTGTTTCAAATAAGGATCAGAATTGCATTTAGTTTGCATTGCCCCCAAATACTGTATATGTGCAAACTTGATTTGAGAGTGACTAAACTACTGTAGTCACTGCTCAATATAGTTAAGTTCATGTTTGCTTTTAGAATTAGAGAAAAAAATAAGAAAATATATATTTGTAATAATTTACTCATAGGTGCCTTGTCAATGCGCTAATATAAAAATTTTCATCTTAATTTTTGTCAAAATTATATATGCATGTAGGGCCAATTAGATAAACTAATGGTTTTGTATGTGTGTTTGTGCACATGTGTATGTGTATGCACATGTGTTTATGTACGTGCACATGAGTGTGCATATGTGAAGGCTAGAAGTCAATGTTGGCTGTCTTTCTCAATTGCTCTCCACCTTAGTTTTTGAGAAAGGGTCTCTTTGTTGAACCTGAAGCTTATCAATTCAGCTAGACTAGCTGGCACCAAGCCCTAGGGAGCCTTCTGTCCGCATCTTGTAGTACTGGGATTACAGGTGTGCACTGCTGTGCCCAATTTTTAAAATTTTTATTTATTATTTTAATTTTATATTTATGAGTATACTCATGTCATATAATGCCCATGGAGGCCAGAAGAGGGCACTGTATGCCCTGGAACTTGAGTTAAGGACAATACTTTGCCATGTGGGTGCTGGAAACCAAACCTGGGTCCTCTGCAAGAGCAGCCACTGCTCTTAACCACTGAGTCATCTCTCCAGTCCCTGTGCCCAAATTTTTATGTAGGTGTTGTGGGTGCTGGGTATCAAACTCAGGTCTTCATACTTGCATGGCAAGCACTTTGCCAACTGAGTCATCTCCCCAGCTCCTAGATAAACTATTTTCTCAATTTCTATGAAGCTATTATTTATAGCCCATAGTTTTTGTAGGAGAAAACCACTTTCTACATTATTGATCCTTTATTATTTACACGTATCTAAAAGTAAGTTTATATTATATCATTTCCTTAGTTTATTTATTTATTTATTTATTACGTATGTGTATGTATATGTGCCTATATAAGTTTATGTGCATCACATGTGTGCAAGTGCCCATGAAGGCCAGAGGGCATCTGATGCCCCAGAACTGGAATTACAGACAGCCATGAGACACCTGATGTTGACAGAACCCAGGTCCACTGCAAATGCAAGTACTCTTAATCACTGAGCCATCTTTCCAGCCCTTCTGTTTTTTCAACTCTAAGTATTATCAATTGACTTCTTTATATAGAATAAGAGAATTTATCTCTTTTATCTCCCTTAATGACTTTGCACACAATTTCTCCTCCCATCCTTTCATTATAAATTTTATATAATCACTAATAAATACATAAATTATAATTATAGAAATGCTATTCATTTGAGCAAAGCAACACTGTCATGTTTAGATTCTTTCACTTCCTATATTGATTTTTGTTTTATCTTAGATTATTCTTTTATTTCTTTGTGGTTTCTCTGTCTACTGACCTAAGCATTTATCATCCTCAATAAAAACTTCACCTGATTTCTCTGCTGGATGTCAAAATCTCCACTGAAGATCACTCCACTGAACTTCAGTTCATCTTCTTATGAAAATGTTTCCTGGAGTTTCTACCTGCTCCTTCCTGACCTGATTTTCCCCTGTACCTGGCACAGAGCTGTAAATCCTGGGTTCCTCTCACTATCACTATGATATGACACTGTCTCTCTGTGGTAGACATCCTGCTTCCTATAACCCTGGCCTTTCTCTTCCTCAGTTTATTCCTTCACTTCTATGGAGCGTGATTTCTATTAGCTTCTTGAAGAAGAGTGTAGGAGAATAAATTTTAGAGACATTCTCATGATAAAAAGTCCTTATTTTCTAGTCTCAAATTACATCTGATTTTAAAATGTATTTACTTATGTATGTATGTATTTTATGTGTATTTTATGTGTATGAGCATGTATGTGAAGAGCACCACATACATGCAGTACCAACAGAGTCCAGAGAGGGTGCCAGATCCCCTGAAACTGGAGTTAGGAATGGCTGTCAGCCATTCTATGGATGTTGGGAACCGAATCTGGGTCTTCCACAAGAGTGGCAAGTGCTCCTAACCACTAAGCCATCTCTCCCACTCCATTTTTGTTTGTTTGTTATTTGTTTGTTTGTTTGTTTGTTTGTTTGTGATAGAGTCTTGGTCTCAAACTTGAGGCCTTCCTCCTGGCTCAGTCTTTGAGTACTGGCATTACAGGTGTGTACCGTGATGCCTGGCTTTGATTTGATACAAAATTTTAATATGTAAATGTTTTTCCATTGTCTTCTGATTCCTAGGACTCCTGATGAGAAATCTGAAGTCACTCTAATTACTGAGCCTTTGTTTTTCCCTCTTCTTGGAAACTCTGGGGATTCTTTGTCCTATAGTTTTAAATTTTTAATAATGATACTTAGATCTACCTCTGATTTCACTCATTCCTCATACCCGCTGAACCTGTTAAAAAGGAAACTCAGTCGGTATTGAGGCACATGCCTGCAATCCCATCACTCACCAAGCAGAGGCAGTAGTAGGATTAGAAGTTCAAGGCCAGTCTCAATCACAAAGTGAGACCCTGTCGTAATAACAAAAACAATACTCAAAAATTCGAGTCCTTGGAGTCTAGAGCTAGTCATTGACAATTTGCTTCTCACTTTTTTCTTTGTTCTTTATTATGTCTATTTTAATTTGGGGGAATTTTCTCCTTGTTCCGTTTCTTTTATTTTTGCCCTACTTTCAGGGAGACAATTTCAACTGCTGTTTCATTTCTGCCACTGTATTTTTAATTTCCAACAGAACTTTTTTCTTCTACATTGCTTTTTATTAAGTAGTACCTTATTTTATGATAAAGTCTTGTCTCTCACAATTATAAATAAGTATTTCAGTTCACTCCTGTATTTCATGTTGGAGACTTTCTTTACATGTCTACTAGTAATAACCAGACAGATGATTAGAACATTCTAATTAAGCATTTCTCACGGCATCCACACAATCTTGATATCAATATTGTCAACCATCCTCCAACTTAGAAATGTTCTCTTTTATTGTCTGTGGAGGATAAAATACAAATTTTCCATGGGAAAGTGGGCAATTCCATTTGGAGCTGAGCTGAGGAAATGATTGGTGGATCTGACTCCTTTAGAAGACTTCTACTTAGCTTCTTTATTTTAGCGCCTTCCTCCAAACTCATTTTCTCCCTCTTCCAAAAGTAGATGATGATGTCAAGTTTTAAACCTTCTGAGATACAAGATAACTTGGGTTGGGTCTCAGTTTTCTCTATTACTGGCCTAGGAATTCAATTCTCTTGACTCTCATAAGTTATGAGCCAGACAGGCATTTGACGTGCACATTCCAAAACCATGATGCCACTGCCTCTACTGCTTTTCTCTGCTTTCCTGTGGATATAAGACCTATTTATGTATGCCCTCTAAAGAAAATCCACTTCGGTGGGACTTCAGCAAGAAGCAAAAGGAGCTATCACACAATGACTCTGTGCATAAGATACCATTTTCCTTAATAAGAAGGAAATGCAAGCTAAACCCTGAAAGATTTCACTGAGCAACTAAATGTAACTCCAGCAACCACGTAGCAGTCCACATTCATCACTTACCATCTTTTAATTTCTTTTGTTAGGATTTACTCAATCACCTTTATGAACTAGATTCTATTTCAGATTGATAACAGTCATATCAAAAGAAAACAGCAGTCAGTAACAGTTGTAAGCTGTATTTCTGGGAAGTGAAATGACTGATGTTTTCATGGAATGGTTAGATAATTACCTGCAGTTTAATGTTCTTCCCTGCTGCACAACTAACATGGATGTGATTTCACCATCAAGTTCTCCAAGCCGTGGGATATTGCCAATATTGGTGCATAAAAGGTAACCACAAAGCACATCCCTGTGTTAAAAGAGTTAATGATCATTTACTTTCTCTCTCCCCAAAGATACAATGAACCCTGCCCATTGGAATAAAAATCTCTCTTTTTAGTATTTATTTTCTGCCAGTTATCAGTTACTTGTATCCTAAGCAAAATAAAAGAAGCCCAAATGGGTTTGCCTCCTGCTCTCAGAAATGGCTTCTCTGAGACTCTACAGGTGAATCAATCGTTTCCTACCTTGTCTTTTACTGCCTATCAGTTCAAGAATTTATCTAAAGAAAACTCTCCACAAAATACATACCTTTATCAGAATTACTTGCTGGATCTGAAAAACTATTTCTCATATTTGGTACGCAAATGAACTTTGAACTGAGTATTCCTCTGTAATATAGCTCCCTTTATAACCTGTCTACAAAAATCAATGAAGAGATTATACATTGCTTATTGATTCCCAACGAAAGCCTCTCTACCCCTTCATCAAGATATTTTTAACTTCCCCTCCATCTATGTGATTATAATTTAAAAGATACTTTGCTGGAGTTAAATATTACCTTACATAATCTTTATCAAACACATTTTAGATATCAATATAGTATATACTTAAATAAAACTAATAAAAACTGATTGATTAGGAGACCAGCAAGGTCACAGGTGGAAACTTCAGACTTTATCTAATGGGTAAACAGAGAAAAATAGAGAACTATATCACCAATGTAAAAAAGTATTCATTTATTCTCTAAAAATATTTTAAACATTTCAATATATGCAAATACATAATGATTATATTTTAAATATTTCTATGCCTTATAAACAAAAATTCTTTTTCAATATAGAAGACATAGTCAAGTATTTTTTAGTTCTATTTATGCACATTAACCTTTGTAATTTACAATATGTAATACAAATTGACATAATCTTTATCCTTAAGGAAACTATACTACCTGACTAGACATATCACATGCATAAACATGTATAAAATAAAGAGTTGAAGACAAGAGCCAAGAATAGCACAAGGCCTATTCAGAGGGGAACAGAGAAGCAATTAGTTTCTATAGAAAATCAGGAAATAATAGAGAAAGTATTTTCCAAATGGGCTTTGAAAAATGGATGCATTTTTCACTGCTGATGATGTGTCTGTAAAGACTGTTTCCAAATAATGAATAGCTAAAACACACAAATTAAGGTTGGGCAGGGTGATGCATGTATTAAGAATAGTAAGATTCAGACTTTGGAGGATAAAGAAGAAAAGGTTTTTAAAAACATAGTTTGGGTGGAATCAGGAAGAAGTGCCAAGCTGGGGTTCCAGTTCACTTGTTAGATGAGACAACCATCATTCAGCAGAGTGGCTAAGAGAGCATTCTGACATCAGATGGCCTCAACTCTAATGCTATTCCTGTCTTAGCTACATGACTTTGGGCACATTCATTGACTCTGTCTTAGTTTTTTTTTTTCATCTATAAAATGAGAGAACTGTCATGATGATGTCACCAAAGTGAGATGCAGTGCTCAGCACACAGTATGCATTTAGTACATGTTGAACACTAACCTATTAATTAGCTATGTGGAGCTAATGAAACCTGAACAAAGAACTGACATATCCAAAAGGACTTAAAAGAGGATTATCCTGGTGATAGTATGCTACAGACTGCCAGCAGAGAAAACTATTAAGGGCTTTGTAATACATGGAGAGTTAGTACAGGTCTTAATTTGGATAATGGCAGTAACAGTGAAAATGAGCAGATAAAGATAAATGGTAGGGAGCAAAAGGGAAGAACGATTATGCTTTGGTGTTGGACAACGTGTGGAGAAAAGATGGAGGTAATTATTCTTATTCTACACAGGACAGAGACATTGAGACATTCAGGAAAGAAAGAAAAAGAAAGAACAAAGGGAAGGAGGGAGGGAAGGAAGGAAGAGAGAAAAAAGGAAAACGAAAACTAGTATCTCATTCAACTGCATTAGGTTGTGAGTGCTTTCATTTTCCTTGCACTTCAGATGCTAGGAAGTGCTGTCTCAGTGAGAAAGTTCTGTAACAAGTACAAGGCTGATCTAGACCTTAGGAAAGAGACCTAAAGCACAAATCAAGATTTGGAGACCTTTGTGATGTTGGAACCTCAGGGGAAAATGAAGCAACTAGACCAGATAGCTGCTTTACTGGATACAGAAAATAGAAACACACTGTTCACTAAAAATGTGTACTTGCAAACCAACTAAGTAATGAACTCTGAAGGATAAACCTGGGGTTAATGTTGCCACCTCACCGTTTGTTGCACTGTATCCATGTATCTTTGTCTTTTCCACAGTTACCCTTCTCAGTCCCCTCGATATTCAGTTTCTCATAGCAGTATTTGTCTGATGCTGTCACCTCTGAAGCAGAACAGAATTTCCTATCAGCGATGGAGGTAACATGGAAGCTGCTCAAAGGTTTGCAGTAAAGGGGCTCTCCAATGTTATCAAGACAAAAACAAGAATTGTACTATCACATACAAAAGCTGTCCTATATGACAGACATGGCTCCAGTATTCCATGACTACATATTCCATGACTGCTGATTTGAAATAGGAAAGCAAGTATATACAGATCTGTGATGAGATTCAGGCTATAGACTATGAGAACACTGCTTAGAATTTGGCTACTAATTAGGGAATGATACCAGCAAATGGTTCCTGCTTTAATCTCAGTGCCAAATACATGAAATTCTGAATCAGCAAACTTTATTAACAAAAGGGCAATTTATTAAAATAACTATGTGGCATAACCAGATTCAAGAAACAGTGGCATAATTACTAATTCTTAGCAGCTATCAAAGTCAATTTCATTTTGCTTTTAGATGAAATTGATTTCACACTAACTCTGAAAGGCAAAAAACATTTTAAAGTACGCCAGCATCTTTGTGGGTTTTAATCTTTTTTGAAGCAAGGGTTGGCTATCACAGTTATCTAAGAATTAGAACAAAATGACTTTTGCAGCCAGTCACAGTGACACAGGCTGGTCACTTGAGAGACGGAGGCAGGAGGACTGGGAGTTCAAGATCATTCTTGGCTGCATAGCAGGTTCGAGACCAACCTAGGCCTCATGAAACCCTATTTGAAGAAACAAACAACAAAGACTTATTCAAACTAAGCAAAGGTCAACTGGTAGCACAAGTTAAATACCTTAATTCAAAAATCTGAAATGCTTCATATTCTATAACTTTTAAAAAGCTAATAAGATACCAGAAATAGAAAATCCTATGACCTGGGCTGAAGATAGGCTATAGTAAGGGCACTTGTTGTGCAAGCATGAGGACCCAAGTTTGAGCCCCCAGCACTCAAGTAAAAAGCCAGGAGTGGCTATGCACATGCTGGTAACTCAGCATTGTGGGAGTGAAGATAGGAGACTACTGAGGGCTTGCTGGCTGTCAGTCTAGTTCCTGGGTCAGTGAGAGACTCTGTCTCAAGGGAATGAGGTGGAGAGTAAAAGAGCAGGATACCAACATGATATTCTCCTCTGGCCTCTGCATATGTATGGGATGCATACCTGCATATACACATGTGCATACAACATACACACACACACACACACACACACACACACAGAGAGAGAGAGAGACACTCCGTACACATAAAGCACACACTCTCATAACATACACATACTCAGCAATAAAAAAAATTTAAAGAAAATTTCATGACCTGATCTAATGTAATAAGTTTCAGTCAAAATGCAGGTACCCTAAAAATACTATGCAAAATTACTTTCATGATAAGTGTATATGTAGGAAACATAAACGAACTTAATGATTAGACTTGGATCCTATTCCCAAGATATCTCATTGTCTATAGAATATATTCCCAAATCATAAAAATTCTGAAATCTGAAGCCCTTCTGGTACCAGGCACTTCAGATATGGGACACTCAACCGGTACATATCAAGCAGCAGCTAATTATCTAGGAAGTTCCTCTCCTACTTCTTACTGTTAGTCACTATTTTTGCTCAAGAAGAAGGGAAAAAAACTCTCTCTCTTTGTTTAGAATAGAAACCTGCATGACTAAATTTCCTTCTCATTGCAATGCTTCTCAAGAGAATAAAAGGGCACATACTCCCTTCCTAAAGGACTGCAGCTACTACCTCTGATATCTGATTATTATTTTTATACTTTTTTTTTTCTTGGCACAAATTATCTTCTAAAAGAGCTTAGCACAAGCCAGGCATGGTGGCAGATGCCTACAAACCCAGCACTTGGGAACCTGAAGGAAGTTCAAAGTCTGCCTGGTTAACATACATAGCCTGGGCTACAGAGTAAGGCCCCATCTAAAAAATAAGTTTTTAAAAGTGTTTAAAACAAAAATTTCTCTCAGAAATATTGGCTAATAATATTTCTGTAGAAAAATACATATTATACATTTAAATATAAATTTACATACAGTATAATTTAAGTAATATTATTCAAAAGTAACTGTCATACATTCTTTAAAACTGATAAATATTGAAGGGAATAACATTAAAATTTCTTTGTTACACAGGAGGGCACCTGTGACTAGAAAAGCTAACTAGAGCTTAAGGATGATAGTTGAGAAGGAAAAGGCCACTCTAGCTAAAATGCTTAGATCTAAGTCAAGGATACCCTACCCAGAGTCCGTGTCCATCCACACGGCTATACAGAGCCGTATGGGCCCTTTTGCTCAAGGGTACTCAGCTGAAGAGCTAAAGTCCAAGTCTGCTCTGTTCTGCAAGCTGTGCACCCAGGCGTGGGTTGCCTGCCTAGCAGCAAAGGCACCTTCTGTCTCATCCATAGGCACTGCCAAGTAGCAGAAAGTATGCAGCCATGCCTTCGCAAAGAAGGTGCCTTTCTCTAACTTCTAAAAAAGTGCCCCTGCCCAGTCCTGCAGTAGCTTTGAGAAGCCTCCAGTCATGAAGTGGTTAAGAACATACTTCTAGCCCATACATCTTTATGGAGTGTGCCTGATACCCTATGGGGAAATGATCGAGCCATATGATTTTCTTACTTTGCCCCCAGATGTATTTGCATTGTCTGTCTCTGGTTTTACACCTTCCTCCAAAGCAAATTCCCTAAAATGAGAAAAAACAAATGCCCATTAGTGATGTCATGTCTTCTTAAGACAGAAAACTTAAAAAAAAAAAAAAGATCATGGGCCCGGCATGGTGGCGCACGCCTTTAAACCCAGCACTTGGGAGGCAGAGGCAGGTAGATCTCTGTGAGTTCAAGGCCAGCCTGGTCTACATAGTGAATTCCAGGACAGCTGGGACTACAGGGAGACCCTGTCTCAAAAAGACCAAAAAACAAAACCATAAAGATCATACAATTGTGAAATAAAGGACATGAGAGTTATTGTCTGAATTAATTATGAACCATTCAAATTGATCTTCCTATTTAGATAAAATTTCAGTATTTCTTTTATGCTGGTAACATATGGAAATTTCAGGTAGAAGTGAAATGACTTACCTGAACACCATCACATGAATATCCATCCATCTTATGCACATTAGGGGCACACTGGGAAGAAAGGACAAACTATGAACCAAGCTCTCAGTAAAATATGAAGCAGATCTTATCATGTTACTGTTTTCTATTTAAAAATAAAGGTTGGTAATATACCTGGTCAGTTAAACTATCTATAAATAAAAGCTTAAGGTTAAGAGAAAGCATGAGGAAATATAATTAGCGAGCATCTCCCCAAAAATATGAAATCTACCAGAGACAAAAAACTTATGATTACATAGCTACAAAAAATGAGATTTACTAGAATGGCCCAGTGAATGACACACCGAAGAGCATCTGCTTCATTCAGATACACTAATCCCCACAGAAGAAGACCCAAGGCCTAAAATAAAATCAGTGAAGCAGAAAGTACAGGGAAGCAGAGCAGGGACATGGGAGGCAATTAACTAAAACAAAGTATGTATGAGAGTCCCATATAGAAGTGTTATTATTCTGTAAGCCAACTTTAAAAATAAAAATTATTTTTATTTTTTATTTTTATTTTTATGTGTATGTATGTTGCCTGCATGTAAGTGCACCCATGCATGCTATACCCATGGAAGCCAGAAGAGGGTACTGGATTCCCCTGGCACTGGAGTTACAGATTGTTGTCACCTGCTATGTGGGTGCTGGGAACCAAACCTGGATCCTCTAGAAGACTGGCCAGTGCTCTTAACCATTGAGTCATTTCTCCACCTCCAAAATAAAATGCTTTTTAAAAGAAAAAAATGGGGAAGATTTTTGAAGGGAGAAAAAAAATGACTCATGATGAAGTCTATTTTGATGATTAACCTTGAAAAAGGATGTTACACTTTACAACACTATTATTTTTTTCTTAAAGCAACTGAAAAAATTATAAAGCATTCCTGTGAGGATATAAACAGAATTATTTTAAATTTCATTGCTATAGTGATAGAAAAATGTATACTTATCTAGTCATTTGAGAAAACTTGGGAAATGTTAAAGAACAGAAAAAAAATAGCCAGGTGTGGGTGGTGCATGCCTTTAATTCCAGCACTCGGGAGGCAGAGGCAGGCAGATCTTTGCCTCAAAACAACAACAACAAATATGATAGAGAAATCACATCCTGCCACACAAATGCAGCTATTTATTATCTCTTAATACATTTTATCTCTGTATTTTTCTAAAAAATTAAAATTTTAAGCATAAGTATACTCACTTCTTTGATTTATTTTGTCATATAACATATAAACTTATAAGATTTTTATAGATGACATTTTAAAATATTTAATTTATTATTTTTATTTTATGTGTATGAGTGTTATGCCTGCATGCAGGTAAGTGCACCCGTATCATGCAATGCTCACAGAAGACAGAAGAGGCTGTTGGATCCCCTGGAACTGACGTTATGGACAGTTGTTAGCTGCCATGTGGGTGCTGGGATTTGAACCCAGGTCTTCTGCAAGAACAACCAGTGTTCTTAACCACTGAGCCATCTCTCCAGACCCAGATAGATGACATTTTAAATGGATTTATTTTAAGGTAGCATTCTACTAGAATAATTCTTTTTCTTAAATATTTTATTTATTATTTTTATTTTATGTGTATGAGTGTATTGCCTGCACGTATGTGAGTGCACCTGTGTCATGCAATGCTGTGGAGATCAGAAGAGGGTTTCGGATTCCCCTGGAACTGGAGTTAAGGGCAGTTCGTAGCCACCATGTAGGTGCTGGGAATCAAACCCAGGTTCTCTGCAAGAGCAGTCAGTGCTCTTAACCACTGAGCCATCTCTCCAGGCCCTAGAATAATTCTTTAAACGTATTTCCAATTAATTTATTCTACTTAATTCAACAGAGTACCTTTGTAAAAACCTTGATTTTGGAGTTAGGATTATCCAAAAATTCCTTCTTATTTATAATGAAATTAATCTAATATACTTTACACCTAGGAGCCTTAGTGGTAATTATTCATTGAAGTCTCCATACCATAAGCATTAGCTTGGAAGACACTGCCAAATACATACTAAGTAAGGGGAAATAACTCAACATAAAAATCTCCTTGTATGGTTCCTTTAAAATAAACCATTTTAAAATTATTATTATAAGTATACTGTTACTAAATCCTCCTCTGGATTAAAAAAAAAATTGTAGACAGTCCTTGCTCTGCTATACATGAATTTCAGTTTCAATGGTTTTACTAAATAAAGCCAGTCCCTTATATAAAACACAAACTTCACTCTTTGTCTTCTGTCAGCTGGTCGCTGGGCAATTAACAGTTGCCCATCATGACCAGTGACCCATCTTGTCCCTTCTTTCAGGGTCTGTTTACAGTTCATAACACAGGCACCAAAGTGTGTAGATTATGTTGCCTTTTTGTTTCTTGGTGATAACGTGAGATTTTATAAAGATGGATAATTGATGAGAGACTGGCCAGCAAAGTTGAAAAGACAAGAGCTGCACCGGTT